GCCCTTATGTGTCATGCTTGCCCACTATCAAATCTGACATCAATTGGCCTCTTTGTACATTCAGTAGTAGTGCTGACAGAGGGAGGATGTATACTTATCTGTTGTACTAACAGAACATGCATCCCCTAAAAAAAAGAGGTGCAGACATCTTCTGTGCGACAGACCAAAAAAAGCCAGCCAAGAGGTGCAAGTCCCTTACTATAGAACAAGCAAAGAGACTCTCAGAGGAGAACCCGGAAATGTCTCAACTATCTTCTCTCAGACAGATGTTGCCTTCTTAATTGAAAAGATCACAGAAGCTGGGACTTCAAGGTTGTCTTCTTAACTAAAAGTCATATAGTCTTGGACTACAAACTTGTAAAATGTATGCATGCCTAGTAAGTTAATGCTATTCTTATTGGGGGGTTTCAATCAGCTAAATGTTGGGTTTGTTTTTTCCCCCCACCAAATAGTACTACTGAACTGGGGACTGTTCTATAATCAGCAAGCTGATGTTGAAATGGAGAAAAGAAAAATAACTACTGAATACACTGATATTTGCTGCAGAAGAGGTTGTTAGTTATGCAGCTGTTATTCTGAGAAGTCACTGCTTCTGGGATGTTTGTAAGAGTTGGAATTTTGAGCATACATCTCAACAGGGATATCTGCTAGGATTTCTGCACAGAAAATGCTCACCTTGTTTTCATAAAAACAGCCCTGCCCATCTGGGACAGTAACATATCCCATCTCCAAACTTATTTCTGTTCAGATTGTACCCACAATCCATGGTAGAGTTATGAGTGCTAAAGTCCATTGATTTCAGTAGGTTAGACTGAAGGGACCATGAGGGCCACACAAATGTATCTTTCCTGCATCTCCCTTTCACTTGCAAGTAGCTTGTGCTCCCCTGAAGGGGAGGGTGGGGGTTGGATGATCCTTAAAAACAGTATGGGACACCACATGGAGGTCTGCTGTGAGAAACAGGGAGTCAGTGAACTCCTACCTCTTTATGAATGGACGTGTCCTTCAGTTCACAGAAAAGGGACGCATGCCTAATTCTGTACTGGATTCTGGTTGGTACTGCTTTAATCAAATTAAATAACTTGGTGTGGATTTGAGAGAATGAAACATGTCTTGAGAGGCTGTCAGGGTGCTAGTGAGAAGAATTCAGGACAAGAAACAGCTAGTGATGGGGAGGCATGTTTAATACTTTGGCGGACAAGAAAGAAGGCTGTAATGATATTCACATCAATATGAAGAAAACATGCGCTCATTAAAATTCAGGTCTACTGCCTTAACTAAATCTTTATTGAAGAGCATCTTGTTATTTACTGTAAATGTAGCTGTAATAAACAAAACTTCAAAATATTAATAATTTTTTAAAAGGCAGAAAACCTTGATTAGGGCACTAGTGTCTTTGAAATAGCGATTAGCTGTAGTCTTATTACAAAGTCTTATTACAAAGTTTGTAATGACAACACTGTGATGGGCTGGTTAGGGTCCCCCTCTCCCTAAGAGACCAATGGGAATTGATGGAATGTTGGTGAGAGGCTGACTGTTAAATAGCCATGAGTGCAGCTGGAAAGAAAGCTGATGAAGTAGTAACTTGAGTTATTCTGAAGCATAACAGCAACCTGCCACTGATTGAGAGGAAGTCAGCTTGTAACGAAGAAGAAGAAGAGGAGGAGGAGAAGGAGATTGGATTTATACCCTGCCCTTCACTCAGAGTCTCAGAGTGGCTTATAAACTCCTTTCCCTTCCCCACCCCACAACAGACACCCTGTGAGGTAGGTGGGGCTGAGAGAACTCTGAGAGAAACTGCTCTTTCAAGAACAGTTCTGACAGAACTATGACTCGCTCAAGGTCATCCAGCAGCTGTGAGTGGAGGAGTAGGGAATCAAACCTGGTTCTCCCAGATCAGAGTCCGTACACTTAACCACTACACCAAACTGGCTTAACCACTACACCAAACAAAGAATTCCAAATGCCTGACTAGGGCTATAGTTCAAAAGTTTAAATGCAAAGAAACTTTGTAATCTTTTACCTGATTCACTCCAATGTTGTGTTTAAACTATAAATAAAAGTTAACTCCTTGTTTGCTTAACCCCATGGTCTGGATGTGCATGGTCTCAGGGAAAGAAGCACATACACGAGCTAAGATCTCAGACTACATATAAATACATTAGGATATGAATAAATGGTGGCAGTGCGTGAATGAAGCAGTGCTAAAGAGGGCTGGCCTAGCCTGTCTGGTGGTGCTTCTGTGAGTGAGAGCGAGGACTCAGTGTGTGAAAGTATCAGGGCTCTCTATATATTTTGAAAGAGGCAAGACAGGTGGTGACCTGCCTGACCTACCTGTAAGGCCGCACCTGTGAACCTGTGTGACAGAATTTGTGGAAGGTGATAGGGTGTCCGAGAGAGTAAGGAGGTCACAAACACTCTCATTTTTAAAGTGCTTGTCATTAACTAGCTGCCAAACTGCTTGCAGGGGGATCAAAACTGAGGTTATTCCTGGGTGGGTGCAGTATAACCACAACCAGAACCTATAACTAACTGCTAGTGGGAAACTCTGTCTTATTTTCATAATTTGTAACAGAAAATAGAGAATAATTTCATACAATTTCTTTTGAGTTTGAAAGTGTCTTCTTTTCATGATGGAATTATTTGGAAATATGGAATGAAATAAACACATGAAATATAGAAGGGACGGGTTCTGTTTTTAAAAATTCTCACTTTTTATATCAGCTTCACGTAAAACTTAAAGCAAGCACTGCATCAGCTGACACAATTTGCTGTTCAGTAGTGTTCAATATTCTAAGAGCTTTAAAGCACAACACGAGTGGAAGAGTGCCAAGAAATCATCTTTCCCACAGCAGGAACCTGAAAGATTAATAAGCCTTTGATTCGATAGGATTAGTACTTGAGCTCAAAGATCTGGTCTGTATCATTGCTGAAGTGTATGTCCTTCACCTTGATGGAAATTGAGGTGTCATGGGTGTCATTTTCTCAGCAACAAGACCTCCTTATATCAGGAGAATATATTAAAGGATTGTAGATCTGTTTATGTGGACAATACAATTATGGGGATAACTGCTATTTATTTACACATGATATGCATGAAGCTACCTTATACTACATCAGATCAGTGGTCCATCAGAGTCAGTATTGTCTACTCAGGCTGGCAGCAGCAGTCTCAGGTGGAGGTCTTTCACAACACCTACTACCTGATTCATTAACTGGAGAGTCCAGGTACTGATCCTGGGACCTTCTGCATGCCAAGCAGATGCTCTACCACTGAGCCACAGCCCCTCCATGTACAATTGGATATCTTTCAATTGCAGAGCACTCTGAAAAAGTGTTCCTCTATGTAGACACAGTTACCAAGAAAATGGACAGAATTCCACCCATGGCTTCTGTACATAACCTGAATACACGCACAAAGTAGCCATCAATGGCACAATAAGTTTCACGTAGTGGGCCAAATTAAAGCTTCTTCCAGTATCAGCAGCATCACATGGTACTCATTACCATGAAACAGGTTTCATACTTTTGTCCCTGCCCAGGGAAACCTGGGACATGTAATTCTGTGGCCTTCGCACTACAGATCTTGAAAGTCCCCAAACTACATTTATCAAGATATTTTGAAAAAAGTCATGATGGTAAAACTGAAAGAGAATATCTATTTTTGAAAGGTTTCAGTACAAGTCTCAAGCTGGCAGAAGTGTCTAGAACTGATATGGAGAAGATCAAGGCTTTAACTACTGTTCTTATTTGACACCAATATCATGTTAAGAGGCATGGCTTCATCAGGGCATTGCCAACTGATTGCACTGGCAGCTTCTAGCTGAGACTGAAGACTCTTTTATATCAGATTTGCTTTGGATGGCGAGACATGGAAGCAAACCTTTGAAAATAGCCCTAATTTTCTTTTTGGCTACCATTATTTTTTTTAAAACCATTTCCCACTTAAGAGCATAAGAACATAAGAGACGCCAATGTTGGATCAGGCCAAAGGCCCATCCAGTCCAACACTCTGTCACACAGTGGCCAAAAATACCAGGTGCCATCAGGAGGTCCACCAGTGGGGCCATGACACTAGAAGCCCTCCCACTGTTGCCCCCCTAGCACCAAGAATACAATGCATCACTTGCCCCACTTACATCTGGAATGAAGCCAATTTCATTGAGATGGTTGCTCAGCTCAGGGTCATGGAATGCAATCATCTGGGAAAACACCGTCAAGTATTCTGGAATTCCAAGAGTGAGAAAGAAAAAAGAACTTTAAAAAATTCACTATAAATTTGGTTGCAGGGATCAGAAACAAAAGCTGGTTTTTGGATTTTCCATTCCAAAATAGTGTTAAGAAGAAGAAAAACTTAAAACACCGCTACAGTTGGTTTGTAGTTTGACCAATGTTAGGTCTCTTTATTTTCTTTGTCTTCACAACAGACAGAAACATAAAAGTTGCAGGAGATACGGATTTTGGCTAGCAGAGCTATATTCAGACACATCTACAGAAAGTACGTTGCAGTTGCTTTAAACATCATTCACTTCTAATCTGGGTTTGACAGTTGTGGAATTAAGGGGGTATTTGAGACCATGTTAATAGTAGTTCAAGACCATCTGTTTCTGCTGTACCGCTCCTAATATAATAAAGGATTGTTGAACACGTACAAGACTTAACATTTTTATTGTTATGGAAAACCCTTAATAAAATATTAGCAACAAAAACTGGGTCAGTCAAGGGGAAAAAAGGCACACTGACCTTCTGAAAGAATATACAAAAGCCAGAGATAGACCACCCACTAGCTGTCAGCTACAAGCGGCTGCTTAAGTAATTTGCCATGATTCTTCAGAACTTACTAGACTCTTGAGAATCTCATTTTCCTAATGTAACTGTCCAATTTTTTCACCTGCGGCCGGGAAGCAGGGGGAGAGGAAGACTTTCTCTGACCAACCTGATAAGAGCCTGGACACTCAAAGAGGCATCGCTATGAAGGAAGGAAAGGGCCCAGCAATTTCACGAACAATCCAGATGGTGCGAAAAAGCAATGCAACCGAAAACTCCCAACTTATTTTGCAGATCTTTTTCAGAAGACTTTGGTGGTGGAAAGTTTCATCAAGTCACTGTTACCCTTACCAGCATAGATTTAAGAAGCTGAATTGCTGCCTTCAGTTTTGGGGGGAATTTAGCTACATGGCAGGCCTCCCTGAGAAGGAGGGGTACAAGCGAGGATTTACTACCTATATTTACAGGGATCTTTCCCTTTAAGGGAGCTCTCAATAACCAGTCCAAGGGTAGAATAAAGGTCTTATTGAAAGAAAATTAATACACAAGAAGCACATGGAGAGCATACACACATACAAGCTCTACAGGAAACAAAGAGAGGAGCTGGAGAATAGCAGGGGGTGAGTCGATAGCTACCCTTTCCTGAAGAAGCTGAAGAAGAAGAGATGGCAAAATGACCAGTGCTTCGTGGAAAGGAAGGATCCAGTATATCGGGGGTGCATGTTGGTAGGCGCCCAGGACAACACAAACACGGCAATGGGGCTGTGCTGGGCTAGTTATACCCGAAAATGTGTTTAGAGGGCTTGCTAATGCACGTCTCCCCTCAGAACAAAACACTGATGAGATTAATTTAGAGGGTTTGCTAATGCACAGGTCCCTCAGAACAAAACACTGATGAGATTAATCAGGGATAAAACATGTAATTTGGAACAATGCTCACTGTAAGCTGTGGAGTCTTGTGAGCAAAAATTCTACTTTGTGAGATACTGGCATTAAAGTTGTGAGCAACCAATTTGGCTACTGCATAAATTAGTTTGCTCTGGAGCCATCCTTCCTGAGCTAAGACAAAAATGTGTTAGCTAATTAAGATGCTGAACTGCAGGCTGTGGAAGGTTGGTAGTTCAGCAGTTCGAGACCAGAGTTGCTGCATGACAGAGTGAGCTCCCGTCTCTAGTTCCAGCTCCTGCCAACCGAGCAGTTCGAAAGCAAGAAATTGCAAGTAGATAAATAGGTACCGCTTCGGTGGGAAGGTAACAGCGTTCCGTGCGCCTTGGTGTTTAGTCATGCCGGCCACATGACCACGGAAACGTCTTCGGACAGCGCTGGCTCTTCGGCTTTGAAACAGAGATGAGCACCGCAACCCTAGAGTCGGATTCGACTGGCTTTTGAGCAAGGGAACCTTTACCCTTTACCTAGTTGGTTTTGGAACACTGGTTTGGAAACGCTGTATAGAGTTCCCAAAGTGGACAAAAGAGAGCAGGGATTCTCTTCTGAATGTAAAGTAAAATTTGGGTTGGATTCCTGCTTACTTCTTTGGTAGCTGAAGAACTAATGGCTTGCTAATTTAAACTAATCAAAATGGAAACAATACTGCTTGATGAGCCACCTGGGTTTGGGGTGTGGGAAAGGAATAGAAGTCAGGACTTTTTATTATAAAGGATATGTAGGGAGGAAGGCTGAGGTGAGATTGATAGGATTAGGGACTGAAATTGAAAAGAAGTAGCTGTGGGGCAAACTTCAGAGGACGGCGGAAGACAAGAAGGCCTGGCGTGAACTGGTCCATGGGGTTGCGAAGAGTCGGACTCGACTGTGCAACTGAACAACAACAACAACAACAACCTGTGGGGCGAGGCAGGTCCATTGTCCAGAGTATGCAGAAGTCAGCGGGGTGGAGGGCGTTGCAGCTGTCAGAACAAGGTCTCATGTGCTTCCCAGGGTCACTGCTTAGACATGATTATGGGGCCTGCCAGTCCTGGCATCCATCTTTGTGCTCACTTATGTCAAGTTGCCTGGTATGTAGATTCCTGGTGTACCCCGATGGGGTCCATTGTGCATTGAAACGGCCCCTCCTGAGACACAAGGGGTCTGCATGATTACATCACAGCTGATTTATGGTGACCCCATAGGATTTTCAAGGGAAGTAGGAAGCAGAGGTGGTTTACCATTGCCTGCTTTGTGTAGCAGCCCTGGACTTCACTGGTGGTCTCCCATCCAGGTACTAACCAGGGCTGACCATGCTTAGTTTCTGAGATGTGACAAGATTCAAAGACATTGAGTTGTTAAACAGATATATATTTACATCTCCTTCAGGGTGACAGAGGACCCATGGCTCCAAACAGGGGCCTAGGACTATGTATTTTGAACAAAATCTTGCAGCCATATTAAATGTACAGTGTGGGAGGGAGATTGGGGCCTCCATTCTGTGAGTTTGGTGTAGTGGTTAAGTGTGCGGACTCTAATCTGGGAGAACCGGGTTTGATTCCCCACTCCTCCACTTACACCTGCTGGATGACCTTGGGCACGCCATAGTTCTGTAAGAGTTGTTCTTGAAAAGAGCAGTTTCTGTCAGAGCTTTCTCAGCCCCACCCACCTCACAGGGTGTCTGTTGTGGGGAGGGGAAGGGAAAGGAGTTTGTAAGCTGCTTCGAGACTTCGAGTGAAGGGCGGGGTATAAATCCAATCTGTTCTTCTTCATTCTGCTTCTATTGGCCTCTTGTCAATTACAGTTTGCAAAATTTCACAGAATTGAAATATGGTAAACCAATAATACAATCCTATGCAGAGTTACTCTAGCCTAAACTCACTAAAATCAGTGGACCTTAACTGGATTAACTCTGCACAGATTTGCAATGTAAATGTAGTATGGTCGATAAATGGACCATATACCTGTTAGGCTTATATGGACAAAATCAAGAGGATGTGGAAGAGAGCGATGAGGATGATCAGGGGTCTGGAGACTGAGCCCTACAAGGAAAGGCTAAGGGCCCTGGGAATGTTTAGTTTGGAGAAGAGGGGATTGAGGGGGGACATGACTGCTCTCTTTAAATATATGAAAGGCTGTCATTTGGAGGAGGGCAAGGAGCTGTTCCAGTTGGCAGCAGAGGATAGGACCCGAAGCAACAGGTTTAAATTACATGCAGAAGGGTATCAGCTGGATATTAGGAAAAACTTTTTCATGGTCAGAGTGGTTCGAATGTGGAATCAGCTGCCTAGGGAGGTGGTTAGCTCCCCTTCACTGTCAAGAAGAGGCTGGACGAATATTTGTCAGAGATGCTTTAGGCTGGTCCTGCATTGGGCAGGGGGTTGGACTAGATGGTCTGTATGGCCCCTTCCAACTCTTCTATGATTCTATTCTATGAAAATACTGTGCAGATAAGGTCACTATATTTAACCAATTTTTTTTAAAATATCTGAATGAGCTATGGAGCACTGGCTCATGGAAGATTTTTAATGTGGTTTTACATGTTTTACATGACAGCCAGAGTGATATGCTGGTTAGAAGGTCAGAATAGGATCTAGGAGCTCTACAGTCAAATTCCCACTCTGCCACGCAAGCTTGTTTGGTGACCTGGGGCCAGTCATACATTCACAGACTAACCTAACTCGGATTTTTGTGAGGATATAATGGAGCAAAGGATGTAAATCGCTTTGGGTCCTTGAGGAGTAGTAAGGGGAGGGAGCATAGATGAAGTAAATAAATAAATGTTGTCTACCCTTTCTTCCATTTCGAGGTAGGTACTTTTTTAAGGCAGATGTCATCAAGTTTTCAACTTGCAAGTTCTTACTACTGGCTACTCGGGTGTCAAATACAAGGGCCAATAAGTTGCTGCAGAAGTTTCTTGCCTTACTTTTAATTTTGCAGGGCTTTTATCCTATTCCCCAGGCTGGCATGAACACTCATCTGATCCTTCAGACTTATTTTATCTCTAAGCCTCTGAAACGGCTCATTTTATTCAGCTTTCCCCCCCATGTGCAGTGTTAACATATTTATGCTCCTAATACCTTCAGCAACCACAGGTAAAGTATTTAAAACCAGTAATCACATACACTCAGGCATGTGCTGATGAAAACAAATTTACAATTAGCTCCCTGAAAGCACATTTCTTTTTTTAAACAAGGAATTCATGCCTTCAGTGGTTCTACAGGGATATGCTATACCTTGTTAAATGTCATCTTTATTTGGATAGCCAGCCTCATAAAATATAATTGCTATGCGGGATTATGTGGTTAATTAAGTGCCTATTGATGGCATACATCCCTTTGTGAAAGTGTATCATTTGGGTTCAGCAAAACAGCGTTGGTGCAGATGATACAAATTATTCCTTCAGATAATTTGATGTCCTACAGCTATAAACCTGTAATTGGTCTTCCATTTGCATGCACAGGAATGGATTTTAAAAGCCTACATTGTGGCCACTTAGGACAAAGTTCTGAAATTGGAGATGCTATGCTTACCTTAGGACTAGCTTGTACGGTTGATGGTTTTCATGCAGTGGCCTTTGGGACTTCAGGGGGCTGGCTGCGCTCTCAGTCCAGTTGTAAGTGGATGAAGGCATGGACTGTATGAAGTGGCACCCCTATATGGGAGCTGTACATGCTGTTCCCACAGTTTGAGTAGTCACAGAAACCATTAATTAACTGCAGCAACTGTGTACACTATTTTTTCCTAAAGTTAGGAGATTTATGACTGAGCGACTTAAGAAGCTTCCAGATGAGTGACAAAGCACAAAAAGTGATAAAGTCAGCAATAAACTAGTGGTGTTCAGTTGCCACAAAGGGTGTGTACATTGGGGAAACTTCCACAATTGGCACCTTTATCCAATCCTAGCTAGGCAAACATGCCCTACCCGGAATAGCCTAGGCTAGCCTGGTCTCATCAGATCTTGGAAGCTAAGCAGGACCAGCCCTAGTTAGTACTTGGATGGGAGCAGGGGCCATTTCATAGAAAAAGAGGTGCAGGAGCTCATTAGCATAACTTATTAGTATAACTTATTTGCATATGCCACACCCCCTGACATCACCGGAAGTGTGTCAGAAGGCAACATCCACCGCTCAGGCTCCACTGGACTGTTTTGGATTGCTAGCTATGGGGGGGGGGACACGCAGATCAGCCCTCACAGAGGAGGGAGAGCTTGTACCTGAAGGCGGGCTGGGGGGGGGCTCTGCAACTTACCTGGCTGCTTTTTGCTCCTCGTGGCCCGACTGAGGGCTGCTGGGAGCAGGGGGCGGGGTTTGTTGCACGTGCCCGCCCCGTGGGCTCCTTACTGCCGGAGCTCCGCTCCTGTGCACTCCCATAGGAAATTACCCCTGGATGGGAGACCACAAAGGGAATCCAGGGTCGCTACACAGAGGAAGGCAATGGCAAACCACCTCTGAATGTCTCTTGTCTTAAAAACCCTACAGGGGCACCATAATTTGGCTGTGACTTGATGGCGCTTTCCACCACCGCCAGCTAAGCAAGTCTCGCAACAGCCTGAGCACACTCCTGAGGGGCCATGTTATGGGGCTGGCTGGCTGTATAAGCTTGGCACATCTGTTGAAAGATACTGGTTCTTCAGTGTCTTTGCAACATTATCCTGTCACAAGATGCTTTGGTCTGATATTGTGCTGCTTAGTAAACATTCAGTGAGTTTAAGTATAATATTCTATTACCCAGTGCAAAATGAAGTAAAACATATCATATATAAACCACATTTAGCGTTAGCCACAAAACAATGTTTCAGAAATTCCCAGTTTTCTCATAGAAGCCTTAGTAATTGAAAAAGGTTGACTATACAGGCCATGTTACAGAGCTTCCATCTTCAGAGGTGGGATGGATGGACACTACAGATACCATTTTGGCACTAGATCAAGATGGATAGCTGTGTTAGTCTGTCTGCAGCAGTAGAAAAGAGTAAGAGTCCAGTAGGTCCTTAAAAACCAACAAAATATGGGGCAGCGTATGAGCTTTTGTGAGTCACTTCTCCCTTCTTCAGACACAGAGTCTTGGCACCGCACTACAACTGTGGAATGTCCTCCTCATATGAGTTCATCTGGCTGTAGTTTTTGGAGCCTTACCTGCAGGTGAAAGCTTTTCTTTGGGGGTATTACTTGATTGGCAATTTTGACCTCTGCTATGCTTGCTCCATTAATGTTTCTGATCCTGGTAACAGGACTTTCCCCCCTGACTGTTCCTGGTAACAGGGTCTTTACTAAAAAGTATGGCTCTCTAGGTCATATTTAAAAATAAATTCTTGCCACTGCTTACTTTTGCTGTTATCTATTGCTGGTATATTTTTGCTGTTGATGGTGCGTATTATATTTTTGACTTCAGACTTCATTTTTAGATTGTTTTAGACTTCATTTTTGGATTGTTCTATTTTTGAACGTATCCCAGCCCATGATCCATTTAAGGGGAAGGGCACGCTAGACATTTTATTAATAATTCAGATGTAATAATTTAAATAAGTTTTTAAATGCCAGCATCCCCCCCTGTTTCACACCCATCTCAATATGATTTACAATGAACAACCCTGGCAGGTACCACTAGAGCCGAACTCTGGCCTATTAAAATCTATACCTCTTCCACAGATTCACATACTTGTCTTCAGCAAAAAAGAAAGCTTTGCACATTCTGTTTCATATAGGGCAAATATAAAGAACAGATTTCTCCCTAAATATATTAAAAGGGGAAAAAACCCTCACAAACATATAAACTTTTCCATTTACAAAGTTTAATTCATTCTCTAAAATCTGCTCTGTAGCATTATGAAATCTCCCCAATAAGCTATTATGGAAACACACCAAGCAGGAAGTTATTAACTTGTCTTCTTTGTACAATAAAATTACAGTTCTATTATCTACCCTTGAACATGTCATTTCCAAAATAAACAGTCCTTATCTTTTAACATTTCCTCTTATGTTAAAAAAACCCCCCAGCCCTTTCAACACCATTCCTTTCATAAAAGCTACTGCCTTTGTAAGAGGGCTCATTTATATATCAAAGATTTCAAAATAAGAACTTGTGCAGGTCTACATGGTCACAATTGTTACTCGGATTATAGCTTCAATTGCTTTTAAACCCACGTCCAGAACTGACAGAGCGTTTCTTTTTGTTCTAAATGGAGCCGTTAGGGTCTTTTAAAAAATTCACAATAAGCATTTGGATTTAAAAGAAGCTGCATGGATCTTCTGTCTCACCATTTTGATTGCTCTCTAATTTCTTTCCTAAATTTGACACTGACGCACCATATAGGCGGCTTAAGCAAGACTCTCAGAAACAAGGAAGAAAGTGAAGTTTCACATTTCATTCTACATAATGCAGTTGTCTAATTTCAAATTATACTCTCATGCAGGGGTCATTTCGTAGAAAAAGAGCTGCAGGAGCTTATTAGCATACCTAATAAACTATTAGCATAATAGCTCATTAGCATATGCCACACCCCCTGACATCACCGGAAGTGATGTCAGAAGGGGAAGCAAAAGGGGGGGCATCTTCAAAAGCCTCCCCTTCCCTTCCCCAGCCCGCCTTGGCAGGCCAGCTGGGAAAGGGGAGGCTTTTGAAGATGCCCCCCCTTGCTTCCCCAGTTGTGGGAGGGGGAGCGAAGAAAGAAGGAGTTTAAACTTTAAACCCCTTCTCTCTGGAGTTGCGCCGCAGCAGCGGCACGATCTTTCCATTGTATTCTATGAGGCTATAGAATACAATGAAGAGATCACGCCACTGCTGCGGCACGACTCTAGAGAGAAGGAGCTTGGGGCAGGGAGGTGGGGGCGGAGCTTGCCGCCGCCACCACCATTTCTGCCTGCTCCTGGGCTGCCGGAGCAGCGCTCCAGCCCCAAACGACCCCTGCTCCCATGACAAGAAAAACACTCAAGAGAAATAATTCAGAATGGCAGTCCAAACTTTTCCATCATTGGGCAGCCATCAAGTAAGAGTGCATTAATAGTGGAATGAGATGTAAACATCTTGAATTAGGATGTCAAGCCTACATTTGCCTGAACTTCACTGCTTCAGTTTTATGGTAGTAGTAAGCTTTTTCCTTTTCTTGTGTGTGTGATCTCTGTATGGACTAAGTGATATATGTGGAGCTATATAAATAAATATAAATTCATATGTGCTTCTGAAGAGGAAGGTATGTAAGGAGATTTAAATACAAAATTTACCTTGAATCACATGAGAGTTGTCTTTTAAAAAGAAGTTATACAGGTATTTAGGAATAAATGCAGACATGCAGGCATAGGCCAGGGCTGAAAGAGAATCAACAAGAGAAACATTAGACCTTTCTTGCACATGTCAGTTTGGTGTAGTGGTTAAGAGCAGCGGACTCTAATCTGGAGAACCGGGTTTGATTCTCCACTCCTTCACATGCAACCAGCTAGGTGACCTTGGGTCAGTCACAGTTCTCTCAGAAATGTTCTCTCAAGAGCAGTTCTCTCAGAGCACTCTCAGCCCCACCTACTTCACAGGGTGTCTGTTTGAGGAGAGGCAGGGAAAGATATTGTAAGCCGCTTTGAATGAAGGGTGGTATATAAATCCAACTCTTCTTCTTCATATAAGGCTTTTCCTCATTTTTTTGGTCAGTTCTGCCCTATACTGCTTTGGGGTATGCCAATTCCTGAATGTATTTTTGTGCCTTAGTTTTTGCTTCATTTTTATTGTCCCCCGGGGGGTTTTCTGGTTCTTCTGAGACCACTTTTACCACCATCTTTTTCTGAGGGCTTATTTGAATTGCCCATTTCCTGATGTTTCTGTCAGTTTCCTTTGGCCTGTCCACTCCTACCGACTTCCAGTCCACTTCATGATGATTGGACTGTCAATATCATCAAACCATTCCCTCTCCTCTCCCCCACCTTTGAAAATGAGTGGTTTAGGGTCCCCCCCATTTTTTAAAAAAGTAGTAAAATATCACTATACTAGTGTAGTGACAGATCAAACACGTTCTCTGAATTCCCAACTTTCATTTTTTTAAAAGGTCTTCATGCCCTTCCCTCATGGAGATATAAGGAAAATGGCTAATCTCCGCAAAGGAAAAAGATAAGAGACTTGCTTTAAAAAAAAAAAAGCTGGGTATTCAGATAGCCTGCTTGACCTATCATTACAATGGTGATATTTTAATGCCTTCACACAATGTAACAATGATACTGATATATCGATATAAGCATATGCAAAACATAAAAAGGGGATGCTGTGACGCCACTGATGACAGCAGCCTCCCTTGAAAATGATGATTATTTGGGCATGCGCAGAACAAAATAACATGATTCCACAACTGTGAAAATGCAGAAGATGTTATTATATCATTAGCATCAACCCAGCACAGATAGACAAACCTAAATACGTTGGCTTGCATTCAATCTATGTACTCAATAGTTTCATCTTAAAGGGGGAAAATGCTCACCTTCGTTGTTGAAATTCAAGTATAAGAATGGTGCACAGAGGGAATCAAGGCCTACAGGGAACAAAATGTGCATTCAGTACACGCCTCAGACCTATTTACCATGGACAAACGGAAGATTTAAAAAAAGCTGATGATCTACCCAGTGAGACATTCTCTATATGATAAAACACTGTATGCCATTATGAGGGAGGAAAGAACAGATGTTAATTGACTGTAATTTTGCGTGCCAAAATGCCGATACGTACAGCAGCTCCTTGACATGTCCAAAAGGAAAACACTTTTGCATTCAGCTATTATGGTACACACATTTCCTTTCAGTGTAGGAAAAGTGTCCTGTGTGAGTCATGAGACAAATTTAGAGAAATTCAATTTCTTCCCACTTCAGTGGTATCTACCATCTTCAGGAAAGATCCAGTTATATTACACTCAACACCAATGTTCCCTTTAAGCTGAGTTAGTGTGAGCTAGCTCAGTTTTTTAGCCTCCAGCTCACAGATTTTTGCCTTCGCTCAGGAAGGATGGCTCCAGAGAAAACTAATTTATGCAGTAGCCAAATCGCTCGCTCACAATGTGAATGCCAGTAGCTCACAAAGTAGAATTTTTGCTCACAAGACTCAGCTTAGAGGGAACATTGCTCAACACTGTAATAAGTTTGCACAGGACTGCACTGCTTAGCCTTCTAAAATACAGCATAAAATTGATAGGGTTTCAGATTAAAATGCAAGACAATTTCATCAGAGGAATAGAATGTCCCTGCCTCCCCTGTCCCCCGGGGCAATCCACTAATCTTCCTGCAGTGCTGCTCCTGGGGGACAAGGGACTCTTAGGAACAGCACAAGAGGAGAACTTGGGGTCTGCAGCTGGAAGAGGGAATGGGTAGAAACTACCCTACCCCCTTCAGTTAGCGGAAAATTTAGCCTGGATCGAACCGATACTACTGCAGGGTTATTTTAAAAATTCTATCACATAAAAAGAAAACATGAGAAAGATCATGCATTTCTGAGCTTAAGTAACAGTAAGTTAAGAGTCTTGGCCAACTAAACTAACCTTGCCAGTATACAAGATCAGGATGGGAAACCACCCAAGCTTTCAATACCCGTCTAAATTTTGCATGACCTTCTGGCGATGACAGCAACTCATCATACTGATGACATCGAGGAATGTCAACTTCAATCTACAAGACAGCCAAGCACAGAAAATTAATTCGAAGTAAGCTCCACCATAAATCCAAAGACACAAAAAGGAATTTTAGAAGAACTCAAATGAGGCCTTCAGAAAGGCCATCTGTTCTGATACCACTATACCACTTGCCCGGGGGGGGGGGGGGGGGCATTTAAGGGAAGTGTTACAACAGAGGTCAATCAGCTATGAACACATTGCCCCTCATGATTTTGCCCAGTAGGGCTTCTGATTGGCCATCAGAGATCTGACTGGCTGTGTAGGCTGGGAAAACAAAAAATAAATATTGCTTTGGCAGCAGCTGCCACCACAGCACAAAGACCTTCACTGTGTGACTGAAGGTAAGCTCTTTGTAAGCAAGAAAATATTTTCAACAGTATGTTCATTTTAAAAGGCCTCCTGTTAAGAATAGCTTCTGCCTAAATGTTGAAGAGTTACAATTAGAATAATGCATAAGTTCACTTGCTGACATTTTGCAGTTGGCTCTGCCTCCTGTGGCATTCATTTTTTCCATCAGCCTGTCAGAATGTCAGAATTCCAAAGTGCCCGCAGAACACTCCTGTTGTAGGTAAAGGAAAGGAATTTGCCCCTTTGCCAGCTGGGATTTAAATGTGACAATTGGGATATAAATCTAAGCACATATGGAATTAAATGGAGGTTGTATGGTTCCTGGATTCACACCCTGGTTCAGCCTTAATGTTGTGCAGGTTATAAACTAAATCTCTAAAATGGTTAATAACTGTGACTTGACAGCTTATCACTTGAAACACAATCACTGTGAAACATTTTGCGCACTCAAAGTGCAATTTCATCGTCTCTCCAAAGAGCTTGGGAGAATTTTCAGGATTTCATAGGTGATTACTCAAAACCAGAGAGTCTTACTTGTCTATCTGTAGGAATTGAAGTGTCCTTGTCAATGGCATCATACTTTGCTTGAATGGCACCCTACAATGCATTAAAATAATCAAAATCGTAAGCAAGGTTGTATAAACAGCACAGGATAACAGAAGTTTGTCTATAATGGCAAACACAGCATTTCCTCAACTATACATTGTAAAAATACACTGGATAAATGTTTACATACATATTCATTGTAATTAAATCTAATGTTCTGGACTTTGGACCTCAAATGGAAAATGCTTTCAGTTAGACTTACATTTATGTCCTCCCTCCCCACCCCCCAAAATCACTTTTGGAATGATACTGTTTTGAGGAACTAAATAATTCTAGACAAGTTTGTGACAATGCCTGTCAAACATCCATGTTGATACTTTGCAGGGATTTCATGTTGTTATTTGGTCCAGAGTCATAAATGATGCCACTTGCCTGCTACCTTAAATGCAGCAGGCGAACTGACAGACAAAGATAACTGCCTTGCTGTCCTTAACCTGACACTTCATGCACTCCATTCTGGACCTTCACTGCTGTACTCTATTCTGTACTTATGTGCAGAAAGTGTGACGCACAGAAAGTGTGCTACTATATCACCAGAGTTTGCCTATCCTGCTCTCTCAGCCCCACCTACCTCACAGGCAGTGTTTCCTCTAAGCTGAGTTAGTGTGAGCTAGCTCACAGTTTTTTAGCCTCCAGCTCACACATTTTTGTCTTAGCTCAGGAAGGATGGCTCCAAAGCAAACTAATGTATGCAGTAGCCAAGTGGCTCGCTCACAACTTTAATGCCAGCAACTCACAAAGTAGAATTTTTGCTCAAAAGACTCCACAGCTTAGAGGGAACATTGCTCACAGGGTGTCTGTTGTGGGGAGGGGAAGGGAAAGGAGTTTGTAAGCCGTTCTGAGAGTCCTTTGGGTAGTGAAGGGTGGGGTATAAATCCAATCTCCTCTTCTTCTTCTTCTAGCTCATGACGGGTAGGTGTGTGTGTGTGTGTGAGGGGAGCACACAGGGAAGCAAAAGAGGCTGAAGAGGTTGCTGCAAGGAATTCAGGGGAAAGATCTGGGGAAGCAGACTTGACCTTGTCTTTTACTCTTCCCAGAGGAAATGTTTCTTTTCTTGTTGCCCTCCCATACATCAATTCAACCATTACCCTGGACAGAGAAAGACAAAGGGCCAGCCATACTTCTCCCTACGTAGTTCTTCCCAAGCCTTTGCTGCCCAGGATGAGGATACTGAATGCAGGGAGAGGAGTTTGGGGACAGACGAACAGAAGCAAGGAAGATCACAAGATGGAAGTACAGTATGGTAACAAAAGGGGGTACAAACCGTACCTCCCATCAAATTTCATGGACCTTTTTTGAAGTTGAAAAGATTGAATTAAATGATTCCAGTTTGTTTTACTCTTACCTCTACTCCAAGCAAGGCAGCCCAAACTAAACCTCTCATTAACGGAGGAATATCAATTCTGGCTTCCTTCCAAACTTGATTTTTTTTGTACGGATAGGCCTGGAGACAACAATTTAGAAAACTGGAATTATGTTCAATATAGACTAAACTAGCAGGAACAAGAAAGGGAAAGAAACTAAACCTAACAAAGAACTCCAAAACCAAGCAAAGGTTAGTGGAAAGGAGGGCCAAAATTAAAACCTTTTCATAAAAAGAGGTACATGTATTTATTGATAATATCAAATTAAAACATATATAGGGGCCCAATTACAACCAATATATATAAAACATAACCATAACCAGGGCTAAAAGAGTTGACCTGACGCGTTTCGGCCGAATCGGCCTTCCTCAGAGGTCATACAAATGTGGCTAGATGGTAAATAGTTACATTCATAAAGACACAATCAGGAATATATACAAAATACAAATTCAATAAGGACCATAAAGTAAATTCACAAGTAAAAAGCAGTGTGAATACTTGTGAATATTGTGGCAACACAATCAAAGAAGGTTATTTGTGGACCATAGGTGGATTTTATAATCACTGGGCTAGTGATTGCACTAAAAAGGTTTCATGTGCATATTTATCCTGTGCCTGGTTACTTTACTTCTGAACAATTTACTTTATGGTCCTTATTGAATTTGTATTTTGTATATATTCCTGATTGTGTCTTTATGAATGTAACTATTTACCATCTAGCCACATTTGTATGACCTCTGAGGAAGGCCGATTCGGCCGAAACGCGTCAGGTCAACTCTTTTAGCCATGGTTATGGTTATGTTTTATATATATTGGTTGTAATTGGGCCCCTATATATGTTTTAATTTGATATTATCAATAAATACATGTACCTCTTTTTATGAAAAGGTTTTAATTTTGGCCCTCCTTTCCACTAACCTTTGCTTGGTTTTGGAGCAATATAGACTAAACAACAGCCCCCCCCCCCAGCTTGCAAAACAAATAAAAACTGAATTACAATGAAACAGCGAGAATTCAATCAAATCCTACTAAAAGCTTGGGAAAACAAAACAGTCTTCAAGCAGTGGTGAAGTAGGTGTCCTAAGGAATGTATTTGGGGACAGAATCCCACAAGCAGGGCATTACCCTGGTCAGGATCACCCTCACTTCTGAAGGGGGGGGGGATAGAGCAAGGAATCTTGGGAAGATATTAATCATCAGAAAAGTTCATATGGCAGTAGGCTGTCCTTGAGCTACCCAAATCTTGGGACTGTTCGTAGCTCTCCAACTCAGAATTATGCTCAGAAATGATCTGGTAACACATAAAAATCTGTAAGCATGGACATATTTGTATATTTCATATTTTCCCCCTTCTAAAATAGTTATAAGTACATTCGATCTTTAAAAAAAAAAATGCTCTGCTGCAGATGTCTAAAGAAGAGGGAATGAAGCCTATATTCCTTTCCAGTTCAGAACTGATCAGGAACAAAGTGAATACATAAATACAAAGAAGCTTCCTGCATGCTAAGGAAAGCTGAAATTCTTCCAAGCTTTATTAATACATACCTTTAGCAACCTGTCAAAAAGGACTATCCTGTTGAGCTGGTATTCTGTATCCCGTTCTCGTATAATAAGAGGAAGATTCGCAGCAGCAGATAATTCATTATTGCTGTTTGAATGGGGTATATTTGACTGGCTGAGAGTGAATGATATGATGATATAATTGTGAACAAAAATTCCAATTAAGTGAATTAAGTATAAAAGGAAGTTTAGAAAAATTTAGTAACGGAGATTATCAGCAAGTTTTACAATGAAGGGTAAAATCTACTTAAAGACAAAAGACATACCCCTGGCCAAGGTTAATTTCAGAAAACGTGGATATTATAGTTACCATTGTTTTCTACATGAGTGAAACCATTGGTGTAAATTTAAAATTGTACATTAAAAAAAAATTACTTAGCACTATTTTCCAAACTTCATATCCACCCTCTCAATTCCTTCCTATAAATCCTGGAGCAAATTTATAGAATACTAAGAACAGATCGATGACAACTCAAAAACAAAGACTTTTATTGCTTTTCTAATAATTCACAAGCCTGACTTCTATGAAGGAGTATAAGTGGGCAAATAAGTCTTGATGATCCAATTTCTGTTTGTAAATAGTTCCAGTTGGGTAGCCGTGTTGGCCTGCAGCAGAAGAGCAAGATTCGAGTTCACAAGAACTCAATAGACCAGCAAGATTTCCAGGATATAAGACAGTCAAAGCCCCCTTGGCCTGATATATGTGAGTTTTGACTCTTGGAAGCTTATACCCTGTAAATCTCATAGCTCTTTAAGGTGCTAATGGGCCTCATATCTTGTTTGGAACTAGTATTTCACTTCCTGTAGGGCAATCATGTCATTTACCAAGGAAAAGGATATAGCAGGCAGTGGGTGCCTGAACTGTCCAAAAGTAGAGGATTGATACTCACTCATCTTCAAGCAATGGATAAAATGCTTCCCCATCAACATCTTTCAGCCTCTGTTAATGTTATAAAAATATGCAGGATTAGAGAAATTTTTGGTATTTTAAGTGACTAGTAGAAAAATACTAAGAAAGGAACTTGCAAAATAAAACTATCATTATCTGTTTGTCATTTCTTTACATATACTTTGGAAAGAATCTCCTGCTTCTTGGAGCTTTCAGTGGTGATATGTTCTCATGTAGCTCTTTTACAAACCAAAGGAAAGCTAAACCAAGGGCTTCTCCTGAATCTTAAGGCTACTGCAGATGCTACAATGGCTGTTCCTCAACCACTTTTATGGGATTGGGTCAAAAGATCAAACACTTTCTGTCCTCATGCATCCTGCAATGTTGCATGTGCACAGACTAGCCACGATGAACCCTAACACAGGAATGCTCTTAAACTAGTTTTTGAAACCAGGAACTTTATTTGAAGTGCTGGGTTACAAATACTTCAGTGATTAAGGGACAATTTGCATACAACAATATGCTATTCAACAGCCTTTCCAGTTCCCTTAAACAACTGCCATTACATCTCCACCAGTCCCAAATTGATATCAACTTTGAAAACAGAGGTGCTTCTATGATTCCTGAATCTAATACCTGTCCACTCAGGTGCTTTCTATAAGCTGGAGCTAACCTATGGAAAGTAAAAGATGTGAGGAGAGGCGGGGCGATGGAGTAGCAAGGTGGTCTGAGAATCCAGGGCTCTGGATCTCACCAACCTTTGGAGTCTTTTTAGGGGACTTTCTTGACATTTCTGGACGCCTCCAGATTTGACAAGGGTCCACCAGTTCCTCAGGAGTAGGAAACTGGTAGCAGAAGATTTAAACTGAGCTCCCTGTTTGCGGCAACAGCAGGTGAAGTTTTCAGTTCGCCTTGAAGCAGAAGCTCCAAAAGGACCGGTCACAGCAGTTCGCGGCTGGAAAGCTACATTCAAGCCCCAAACAAGAGCCTCCATACCTCGTCACAAATCATTTTGGCGAAGACTCCGTAAGCAACCTTATCTTCTAATTTAATCGTTAAGCTTGTAAACAGACACTTGATTACCCCTATAAATCTGTCCCAGAGGCAGAGGGAAGGGTGAAACTCTCACGCCAGGCGGCGAGGCGAAATCTTTTATAATTTTATTACATCAAACACGCTGGGGAAAAACAACACTTTGAAATGTTCTACCTGCTACTGGGAAAATATTGTTACAGAAACTTATTTCACTCTTAAAGAACTTTGATGGAACTATTGAAAGTGAAATAGGCGAAATGTTAAGCCAAAATGGCGCTGAGCAGCAGTTTCTTTGTCTGTGTCTTTCTATGCGCAATTATGCAGTGAATGTTGTGTCTGTTAAGGAGTGAGATAGCTCTCGCAACTCCATTTGATATGAAGGATTCTAGGACAGATGAAAATATACAACTGTTCTCAGATGACCAATGGGACTATTTAAAAAATCAATTGATGGAAAAAATCACAAATGCTGTTATGAAAGCTCTGGGAGAGTATTGGGATTGTTTTGAAGAAGAGATTACAGAGACACAAAATCAGATGACGTCAGTTTCTACACAAGAGGAAAAAGGATAGGACCTGTTTCAACACTCAATATCTACAATAAGAGACTTTTTAAGCCACTACTTTGATGATTGGACATAATATGGACGACGTTGGCTGTTTGTTTTCATACACAAACAGGCCAGAAGAAAATGAGACATTCAAAAATCAAAGACACAAAAGAACGATTTTGATGAGACATTTTCAAAGAAAGCAAGAGAAATTTAAATTTTATAAACAAATGGAAGTAGCACTCTCTGACAGTAAACATGGCTTTATTAGCGGAAAAGATAAAGATAGCCAAAACTGGAACTTTTAAGCTGATGAGATCTGTTTATTTACTGTGTGCCTTGTACCCGTTTTACACGACTATTTGATATCTGATCGATTTATGAATATAATCTGAAGCAAAGTATTTTAATTCTTACATTATCTTGACTGTTTAATGAAAGCTAAAGATATGGGCAGTCTGAAATTTTAGAGAGGATAAGTGGAAGTAGCACTCTTTGACAGTCTGCATGGTTTTAATTGGCTGAAGGGATAATGATCTCCTAAAATTGGGACTTTTAAGCTGTTGAGAACTGTTTCTACACCTGATTTACATTGTTATTTGATACCCAATTGATTTATGAATATAACCTGAAGCAAAGTACCTCCAACTTTTGCATTCTCTTGACTGACTAATGAAAGCTATAAAACATGGACTTCTAATTTGAAACAATTTACTCTCTGTACATGTAATGTCCTAATTGAAGGAGGATGAAAAGATATGGGTAGTCTGCATTTTTAGAGAGTGTATAGAAATATTATTTCTAAATTCTCATGCCTTCTTCCTGTGATGACATTCCGACATTCTGTGTGTCTTTTCCTGTTGCAGGCCAGATGGCCTAGTGTGATTTCTGTCACTTGACCAGATGGCTGAGCCACCAAATAGCCATGCCATATAATTATGCCAGATACCACATTCCTTAACACCTCCCTGTTGAGGACCAGACTTGAAGGCTCCTCTCTATGGCCTACATGAGCCATGTCACGTACACAATGGAGAAAGCTGAAAGTTGGGTCACCTGACTGCAGGCAGGGCCTCTAACTTCTTAGCCAATCCCCACACACCTGATGTTGCAGCTATGGCAACCAGAAATTGGGCACACCCCCCTGCCGCTCGTGATTGGCTGATATTTTAGACACGACAGCTTGTATCTTATGAAGCACCTCTGCCTATTTAGCTTATGGAAGAGAGAGAGGAGGGGATGACTTCATCCCCTTCCGCCTCCTCATTACAGTTGCCCAACCTGCACAACTATTTGTCTACATGGATTCCATCACTACAGGAGCAATCTTCCAGGGGAAGCAGGGAAAAGAACACCGGGGGGGGGGGGGTCAGTGTTCCATTGGCATTTTGAAGGATTGAAGCCAACATGTTGGTCCTATTGACTGTCACTGGTTACAGCTTCAAAGATCAGATGCAAAATTAACTGGTGTCTCTAGTGCAGCATGATTAAAATTTAATACTGCTTTTTTATTGTGTAAGTCAGGCCCTGCTCTGAAGGTGCAGGATTCTCTTTTCTGTGGATTAGAAACTCTTTCCTGCACGTAGCACTGATCCTCTTTTGATTGCAGTCACAAAACTGTGTTCTAGGAGCAGCATGTGGAGGATTCTGAGAGCTGAGGAAAAATCCTTCTCATTAATATTGGACGATTGGCTAGGAGATTAGTGAGGCTCGAAACAGTTTTTCTTCAAAAGAGAAAGATCAGTGCTGAGCATATTCATACTTTTCTACTGTAAAGGGCTGGTATTTCAATTCCACAGTTCTGAAAAATTCTGCAGCATAGTGACAAAGGCTTTCATTTGTTAAGAAAGGTTATGCACGGATTTTTTTTTTTTAATGGCTTTGGGTTGAAAAGGTGGCCTGAAGGTTTCTTTTCTTTTCTTTTTTTAATGAACTTTTTAAAATGCCATTTGGTCCAGTTCCATATGCAGAAATCACCATTTCATGCCATGAGGTATGAATTTCTAGGCCTTGATCCAAAGCACTGTGCTTTTGGGGGGCTTTTTGAACAGCAGACCCTTCTTGGCGGCATGGAAAACCTCTTCTGAAAACAAAAGGAACTTTGAAAGCAGAGGGGGTTTCAAACAGAATTTATACCATGGCAAAGGAGGAGAGATTGGGAGGGAACAACAAAAATCCCAATGAGCATGTCAGAATCCTGTAGAACACCCAAAGCTGCTCTTTGGACCACAATATTAATATTTTTATTAAGGTTTATGCGTTTCTTCATGCCATTCATTTATGATTTGTTGAACTAGATTATAACAATTTGGAAAGGTTAAGGCGCTTAGGGCTCTTTAGCTTGGAGAAACGACGACTGAGGGGTGACATGATTGAGGTTTCTAAGATTATGCATGGGAAAGAGCAGGTAGAGAAAGAGGTACTTTTCTCCCTCTCTCACAATACAAGAACTCGTGGGCACTCCATGAAATTACTGAGCGGTCAGGTTAGAACGGATAAAAGGAAGTACTTCTTCACCCAAAGAGTCATTAACACTTGGAATTCACTGCCACAGCAGTGGTGGCGGCTACAAGCATGGACGGCTTCAAAAGGGAATTAGATAAGCATATGGAGCAGAGGTCCATCAGTGGCTATTAGCCACAAGGTATAGATAGGGACACTGGGGCAAGTGATGCTCTGTCATCTTGATGCTTGGGGGGGGGGTCAACAGTGGGAGGGCTTCTAATGTCCTGGCCCCACTGCTGGACCTCCTGATGGCACTGGTATTTCTGGCCACTGTGTGATACAGAGTGTTGGACTGGATGGGCCTTTGGCCTGATCCAACATTGGCATCTCTTATGTTCTTATTTGGTGCAACCAAAGGCATTTCAAATAGGTAGATATAAGTGGAAGACTTGTAAGATTTATAGGGAGGGGGAATGCCATCCTTTTCCGCTCCCACCACCTTCTCTCACTTCTCCATGCACTCCCCCCGCTTTTGTCCCCCACTGTTTCTTTCCATTATTGCAACTCCTCTTCGCCTCACCCAGCTGTTACACCTCTGTTGCCTTCCCTGTTGTCTCTCTCACTCTCCCTACCAGCTTGCCTGCACACTTGTTATCTCAACAGTTGGCTACTCACTCTCCGGGGCCCCCACTCGGCCTGCTGGCCAGCCTTCCCGCCTACAGCACCACCAACCTTCACCTGCCTGGCTCAAGTGGTGGTAGGTGTGGCTCCAGCAGTGGCAGCCCCTCCTCCTCTCCTCCCCTTCTTTTCCTCCTACAAGTCAGTAGCAGCATTTTCCAGTTACTCTGATTGGTTTTTGCTGTTTAAAATGGTGCTCGTGATCTTGCTCTTTTATGTGACAAGTTCACCTCTGCGTAAGTTGTGATGTCTGCGCAAGCACAGACTTCACTTCTCTGGTTTGAGGGCTTCCTGAAACCCCCAATTTGTCTTTTAAAGTTTTTGTACTTTTCTGCAAACCTAGATGTCCACCCGAGTGTGTAGAAATTAAAAAAACCATATAAAGATACTTAAAAAAAACCATTTAGGATAATTGTTTGAAATTATTCCTCCACTTTCCTAATTCCGGTTTAATTATTGAGGACAAAACAAATGGCACACCTTAGAACAATGCAAATAACTCCCCACCCCTCCCCCACACACATCCCTGGTAAATTCCATTGCTAAGAGATGTGATAAATCTACCGTCATTATTATCTTAAGACAGCCATATCAGAATGTCATAGTTGAACATAAACATCTGGTAGGATGCCACCTTACACTTTTTCTGCATTGGTGGCATCCTACCAGATAGAGAATACACAAATACAAATGACACATTATAGACAAGCCATTAGCACTGCAATCCTAAACAGAGTTATACCACTCTAAGTCCATTTGAAATCAGTGGGCTTAGAACTGACTTCAACAAAGCCAGAAAGGCACAACTCTGTTTAGGATTGCACAGTTAGTATTTAACTCTATACTGGCTATTCTCACTAGAAGAAACTCATTGTGAGCTGCCTCAGAAGTGTGTTGACAGGCAGAAAAGATGGTGTATAAATAAAATAAACAAATTGAGGTTCTCTCAGTAGCATGTAATTAAGCATGTAATAGGAAAGAAAACAAGGCTGAGAAGCTTGAAATTTGAGGTGTGACAAGACAAGTACCTAAACAACATGTCAGAAAAGCTATAACATTTTCTGTCGGAAAAATTACTTTAAAATACACCAGCGCAGAGAAACATATTTCTTCTTACATTTCTGAGCTGGCACAGTGAAAGTGTCACCGTTGTGTCATCCAAAAGGAAGCTTCTATCTCGTCCCTGGCCAAAGCTTTCCCCATCCTCCAACAAAAAACTGGAGACAGAAGTGACAGTTTAAAATTATTTTCAACAGACAAGGCACAAGACAGGGAATTTGTACCCAGGGCTCATGAACTTCTGTAGCATTACTGCTGGGGTTTAACGTACATTGCATTTGGGTTTTCTTCAAGTTTAGGGAAGTGAAGTCATCTGTTCCCTAGAAAATTGTTAAGCAGCCAATACAATTTACACACAATTTCTTTTTTATTTGAAAAGAAGCAGGGCACTGTAAAGCAAAATATTAGAAAGACTTAAAGTTTGCAAACTAAGGCTCGTGTGAGGCACTGAAGGCAACTCAACTAGATGGAATTTTAAAAATATATATGATAGGGTCACTTGGCAGGTTTTGGTAACTTAGATACCCTTGAGGGAAGGCAGGTGTTACCAATACCATTTTTTTTCTTTTAGGTGATGGCCAGCAATGGTAAAAAAAAACTTTAAAGTGTTGTTGGGGCTCTGTCCCCTCTCCGCTGTGCCATTTTCAAGAGCTGAACTGTTTTGGCTCTTGAATACGGTGTGGAGTGAGAGACAGGATCCTCTCATCCCTTGCACCACAGTCCCCAGCAGAATCAGTCCCCCTGGCATTTTCAGAAATAAAAAAACAAGCTCTTAATAGGCACCTGTGGTGGACTCACTCAGTATCATCTAGCTTGGCCTTGAGCCAATCTCACTTGCAGAAGGTAATAAGGAAAATCTCTACTATAAAGTACTTAATGTATAGAAGTAAGTGCACATTCAGGTCTTATTATATGATGTACACTGCATATGGATTTGCAAACTGGGATTACAAACTTTGAAATAAGAAATTAGATAGTACAGTATTGAACATGTAGGAGGGATGCTTGACAATGCAATGATTTTTCAGGCTATGACTTCAAATTTCCCTTGCAAACTAGTTTGATGTTGCTTTATAATTTAGCTGTTTCTTTGCACATCATCCCCAAAACCAGTACTTCATTTCTTACATTGGGAGAGTACAGATGGGTGGTTTTGAATGAATGATTTCCTTGTTGACAAGCTCTTTCTCCAAGTCTCCTCCAGCCAAGCACCAGAGATAATAAACCTCTTCAATTGATCTCTCTGCTAGGTAATCAGCATTTTCATCTATTAACAGAAGCCAACAAAGACAGCATTATAATTTCTCAGCAACTGGGAGAGTTCTCCAGCTTTCTAAACATGTTTTCCGCCCCCTCTAGAAATAGAAGACTAGGTCTGAGGAAGAATTTTTCCTACCATGTTACTAAAGATAAATACTCTTCCCTTTGGAAGGACTAGAAGTAAAATCCCTTGGAAGACAAAGGTCACAAGGATCAATCTATAGTGAGGGAGAGAAATTAAGGAGAGAATGTCTCCATCTTGATTGGACACCAGAAAAAATGCAATAAATACATTAGAAAAATGTTGCTAAACACTTTATTCATAATTTTGTATGTAGTTCTCCAATATGGCTTAATCAAATGCAGTGATACTAAATAATAGAATACATGATGTGTGCAAGGATCCTCCAAAATCTAATGCTTATTCTACTTCTAACAATCAGCTCTACCAATTGGACCTTTTGCTATATCAGATTTGTGGGAGGGGAAAAACTTGTTTTAAAATCTGTTATTCTAAATGGGAACTTGCACATCACAGTATTGAAGCCGTATCCTATACAGACTAAACTTTCTTAAATTGTCCGACTCTTGGTCCATCTAGGCCAGCATAGTCTATGCCAATTTACAGTAGTTCTCCAAAATTTTAAGAGTCCCTTCTCATCCCACAAAGAGTATGGAGTAGCCCAACTACTTCTACTGAGCACATCACAGTAAAAGTCTCATACATGGAGCTTACAATTGTTGCCAGTCTTACAAATGTTATTGAACCTTCTAATAAGCAATGCTTGGCAAACAACCAGCTGAACGCCCTCTTAAAGCATTGCAAAGGGCAGAATTTAGACTTTTTAAATTCAGAAGTATAATACAGGTTCATAATCTGCAGAACAACAGGCAGGGTGTTCAAGGGAAAATGCAAAAGACATAAACTATGCAGGACAATGGACAGAAGCCTGTATTCAACCAGTCTGCCAGTATGGTGGATCTATTAAGACTATCGGACTAGGATCTCGCAGACCTTGGTTCAAGTCCCCACAGTGCCCTAGAAGCTTGTCGGGTGACCTTGGGGCGGTCATTCTTTTTCTCAGGAGAGAATGATGTTGTAATCTGCTCTGAGTCCCCAACGGAGAGGAAAGTGAGGTATAAATATCTAAACAAATGCATAAATAAAAGACTTAAAGGCACTGGAAAATTATGCCAGTTCCTTATTTATGCTGGGAAATTACAGACCAGTCAGTCTGACATTGATACTGATTATGCCGGGAAATTACAGGCCGGTCAGTCTGACATTGATACTGGGTAAATTGGTGGAAACTGTTATTAAGGAAAGAATTAGTAAGCACACTGATGAACAAAAACTACTGAGGCAGACTCAGCATGGGTTCTGTAAGGGAAGATCTTGTCTCACTAACCTGCTAGTGTTCTTTGAGGGGGTGAACAAACATGTGGCAAGGGGGACCCAATAGATGTTGTTTACCTTGACTTCCAGAAAGCTTTTGATAAAGTTCCTAATCAAAGGCTCCTAAGTAAGCTCAAAAATCATGGGATAAAAGGACGTCCTTTTGTGGATCAAAACTGGCTAATTAACAGGAAACAGAGAGTGAGTATAAATGGGAAATTTTCTCAGTGCAGGGTGGTAAGTAGTGGGGTACCACAGGGATCAGTACTCAGTCCGATGCTTTTTAACTTGTTCATTGATAATTTGGAGTTGGGAGTAAGCAGTGAAGTGGCTAAATTTGCAGATGATACAAAGTTGTTCAGGGTGGTGAAAACCAGGGAGAATTGTGAGGCGCTCCAAAGGGATCTGTCGAGGATGGGCAAGTGGGCATCAACGTGGCAAATGGGGTTCAATGTGGCCAAGTGCAAGGTGATGCACATTGGAGCCAAAAATCCTAACTTGGCAGGTTTTGGTAACTTAGATACCCTTGAGGGAAGGCAGGTGTTACCAATACCATTTTTTTTTCTTTTAGGTGATGGCCAGGATGTCGAGGATGGGCAAGTGGGCATCAACGTGGCAAATGGGGTTCAATGTGGCCACGTGCAAGGTGATGCACATTAGAACCAAAAATCCTAACTATAAATACACGTTGATGGAGTTCGAAGTGGCAGAGACTGACCAAGAGTTGTAGCAGATAACTCACTGAAAATGTCGAGACAGTGTGTGACTGCAGTAAAAAAGGCCAATGCTATGCTGGGGATTATTAGGAAGGGTATTGAAAATAGATCAGCCAATATCAAAATACCCCTGTATAAATCAATGGTGCGACCTCATTTGGAATACTGTGTGCAGTTCTGGTCACCACACCTTAAAAAGGATATTATAGCTTTGGGAAAAGTGCAGAAAAGGGCAACTCGAATGATAAAAGGGTTGGAACACTTTCCCTATGAGGAAAAGTTAAAGTGCTTAGGGCTCTTTAGCTTGGAGAAACGACGACTGAGGGGAGACATGATTGAGGTTTATAAGATTATGCATGGGATAGAGCAGGTAGAGAAAGAGGTACTTTTCTCCCTTCCTCACAATACAAGAACTTGTGGGCACTCCATGAAATTGCTGAGCGGTCAGGTTAGAACAGATAAAAGGAAGTACTTCTTCACCCAAAGAGTGATTAACACATGGAATTCACTGCCCACAAGAGGTGGTGGTGGCTACAAGCATGTACGGCTTCAAGAGGGAATTAGATAAGCATATGGAGCAGAGGTCCATTGGTGGCTATTAGCCACAAGGTATAGATAGGGACTCCGGGGCAAGTGATGCTCTGCATTCTTGGGGCTTGGGGGGGTCAATAGTGGTAGGTCTTCTAGTGTCCTGGCCCCACTGCTGGACCTCCTGATGGCACCTGGTATTTTGAGCCACTGTGTGACAGAGTGTTGGACTGGATGGGCCATTGGCCTGATCCAACATTGGCTTCTCTTATGTTCTTATGTTCTTCTTCCTGCTGCAGACCACTGAAATTTTATTCCTAGGAAAGGGAGCGAGTAGGAGCAAATAGGGAGAGTCTGCAATGGGGGGGGGGCAATGTAATGTGAAAGGATACAGGCCGTAGATAAATCCCATTCAAGCATGCAAGAAGATGCCGTTATAGAGACAGTGTGGTTGTAGTGGTTAAGAGCAGTGGACTCTAATCTGGAGAACTGGGTTTGATTCCCCACTTCTCCACATGCAGCCAGCTAGGTGACCTTGTGTCAGTCACAGTTCTCTTAGAGCTCTCTCAGCCCCACCTACCTCACAGGGTGTCTGTTGTGGGGAAAGGAAAGGAAGGCGATTGTAAGCCACTTTGAGACTCCTTCGGATAGTAGAAAAATGGGGTATAAAAACCAACTCTTCTTCTTTTAAAAAAGTATTCCACATTTCCATCACAATATCCATTATTGTGGCTTACAAATCCAGTTAAAATCATATAAAATGGCAACAGTAAATAATTTAAAATAAACAGCCTAAGAACAAAAGGAAAAAGATCTGCCAATCCAAATAAGGGAGCAATTACAGCTGGTCAACAATCAACTGTGATATTCCACAAAGGCAGGAAAACACAAAACAGTAACTGTCTAAAAATAACGTTAGAATTTTGCTCCTAGACTTCGGTTGTGGCATCCTGTTTACCTTTACACAACTGGTTAATATCTTCAGGAAGAGTTAAGCCAGCACATCTCAGAGTGGCTGAAAAAAGGCTAGCAGGTTTGTGGAAAGGTGGGTATAAAGAAGAGATTTCACTGAACACGGAGTCTTTGAGTAACTGGTCTGGAGTAGGCCTTGAGTAACAGGGACAAAAAGAGGAGAAAGAAGTTATACTAAGTCTTTTCAAAAATGAACTTCAAAGCAAAATAAATGAAAACCCAAAATATAAAAAAATCTTCACTGTGATGCAATGTGAACATTTTCGTTATTAGGGCACTCCCCAAACTCATATATATTTCTTATAAAAATTTATTTGCTCAGCAATCAGCTTCTGGCTCTGTTACATATTTTACCGAGGTCAATAAAAAGCATATTATCTTGAGTCTGCGGATATAAGGTAGGATATAAATTATCTAAGTCAATACTTAATCTGGTAACTTTGTAGCTGTGTTATATTTCTCTTTTAAAGTCCTATGGCTGATTCATGTTCATATATGAGAGCTCCTGGCCGCCGCCGAAGGCAATGGTGGCCGGGGGCTCGTTTGCCGCCGCGGGGAAGGCGGGGCTAACGCAGCATCCCAGCGCAGGGAGCTGGGACGTGGGGAGGGGCGGAGCCGGCCTGGCTAGGCACGGCTCTGCTCCCGCCCCCCTTTGTCTGTTGCAGCCTCGTGCTCGGTGGGAGCAGACGGAGGCTGGGGTGCTGCTTTGCTGCTGGCCCCCCGGGCTTTGTTTGGAGCCGAGGGCCTCAGCGGAAGCAGCGGCGGTGGTACCGGCGGCTGGGACGATCGCCGGGGCGGCGGCTGGAGCGGATCGGCGTCGGCGACAGAGCCATGCCACAGCTCCTCTCTGCAAACTGTAGGGTTTCAGGGGTAGGCGCTCCCGGGAGGCGACCCGCGGCTGGGCTGCTGGTCGCAAGCCAGGCTAATGGCCCAGGACCGGGGTTGGTGCATTGCCCATATGTATCAGACAAGGAGGCTGGTCAGCCTGACACCTGCCTTGTCTGTTCCGCTATTCATGAAGTGCTCCCTTGCCGGTTTGCTATTCATAAAGTGTATGTAGTTAATAAAGTGGCCCTTGTTTAACCCAAATGGTTGTCTGTCTCGTTATTCCCCTGTGGGGGCAAATGCATGTGAGTGGTCTGCTTATATAAGCAAAGTAGGTGAGTGAACTCATGAAACACTGCGGCATTAATTTCAGCGTACAGGAATTATTGTGTCTCCTCTCTTTGGATTTGGCACTATGACGTCACACAAGTTTTATCATTTTACATTGCTCAAGATGAAATCACTTTTAGACCAGACTTGACTGAACCTTGATAGGAAAACGATTCAACATGCTAGGTAATTTGTGCTGGAAATCTACATTTCAGATTTTTGCCAATGCTATCCTATGCACAGTCACACCCTGCTAAGCCTCTAGACTACATTGGGCGTAGAAGGATGCAACTCTATTTAGGGCTGCACTGTGCACTGCATTCCTACTCCCATCCGCCTATTATTGCCTTAAGCACAAAGAAACAAGCTTTCATGTTCATATTTCCCAGGTGCTTGAGGAATCATGCCTGCTAGTGGCTGTGGCACTCATTTCCCAACCTAAAACCATACATGCATAGCCTAACTAAGATTATTAGTAATTGCATGAAGACCTATTCTGTGCTAAGAGAAAGTGAAGGAGACATTCTTCCTCCAATACCCTGAACAGATGATTAATGATATCATGGTCTGCAGACCACTTTCCACATAACTTTTTTTTACATCTAAGTGTTCGAGTGTACATCAAAGTAAATATGCCACGTATGCACAATCCCCAAGAATTTGTGACTGGCTCCAGCTCCCAGTTAAACATACATTTCTGGAAAACCTAGGCTTGCCTCTGTGTAGCATGGGTGACAACTAGCGTTGCCAACCTCCAGGTGGGAAGTACAAGTGACTGCAGACTACAGAGATTAATCTCCCTGGAGAAAATGGCTTGGAGGGTGGCTGTATAACCTTATACCTCACTGAGGTCCTTCGTGTCCCCAAACTTCACCTTTCCCAGGTTCTACCCCCAAATCTCCAGCAATTTCTCAACCCTAGTTACACTCATGTTGCCTGACTGGTGGCTGAGGCTCTTTAATATTAGGAACCATGTGAACAGCATCACACGCCGACAGAGTCCCGTAGCTGGATGGGCACTGCAAAATTTTCAAAAAGAGATTTAAACAGGTTGCCTCAGATGGCTGACATTCTAAGCGTACAATTGCAACCCATGGCTACAGCATAAATACTGTATTCTCCTTGCTTTATCTGTGTGCTTACCTCTTAGAAGGATGGAATGTAAGGCATTTCCTTAGCAGATCTAAAATATTTTCTGGCATTTCCTGGTAAGCAAAAGTAGAAATGTCAATGGACATGGCACTGAATAACGCATTTCAAAAAATGTGCAGCTTGAATGCAAGACAAACTATAGGGGCCTGTGCTTATGTTTGAACACAGGACTGCAAGGGCATAAATCAGATTATAAAAACTGTGACTTTTGGGGAGGTTAGAAAACTATGGATCAGCTTCTCTCATATTGACCAGCTTGCTAAGTAAAACCTTCTGTTCTTTCCACACTCACCTGCAGAGGTCAGGGTGGAGAGCCAGTGCAGTGTAGCAGTTAAGTGTCAGACTAGCATTTGGGGAACTGGGAATTCATGACATGGAAGCTCACTGGGTGACCTTGGGTCGGTCACACTTTCTCAGCCTAGCCTACTTCACAGGGGTGTTGTGAGAATAAAATGGAGAAGAGGAGAACAATGTAAGATGCTTTGGGCCCTCATACGGGGAGAAAGGTGAGGTGCTAATGAATTAAATATCTCAGAGATCAGGTGGGTGGTGATCGGAGACAGGATATTCATCTGTGGAATGCCCTACACTTTTTGTGGCTTGTGTGACACCTATCCTGTTCTTTTTTAGGCACCAGGCCAAAACATTTCTTTTGAGCTAGGCCTTTAACTAAGGGGTTACCATCCTGAAGAAGGAGAATTATGGGGAAAGTTTTGAGCATGTGATCTAAAAATGTGACACAGTATAGAAATAAGTTTTGCTCTAAAACACATCATTTTGTTTCAAGAAAAGTTGAATGCTGTGATAATTAACATAACTAAGCAACACATTCTTCTGGTCTGACCTTGATAATGTCCAGACAACCGTGTTCTTCAGCCAGTACTGTTATGATATCATCCACACATCCTACAAAGTCCAAACAGGAAGAGGAACATTATCAACATGAAATGACTCAGTATATATATATAAAAAAGTCCTAGAAATCTTTCCTTCCATATGAGGACCTGTCACCAAACTACATGTTTGCAAATCAATCATTTTCTAAAAGACCAGTTTTTCCAGATCCAGAAACGGATATGCATGCTTGTATGAGAAGAAGAGTAATTTAGTCACACATTTTTGTAAAACTCAAACTTGACTTTTTGTAATTGGAAGGATTTTACTTTTCCTTTATAGCAAGTGAATCACTGAAGCTTCAAAAGGAAAAAGAAAACATCTTAGGCTGCCTGTAAACAGAGCTGGCACTAATAATTTGTGTTTTTAGCTTTCATTGATGTCACTTTAAATTGTATGTGCAGTGCTTTGAACACTGAAAGCTCTACAGAAATGCTAATTATATTTATTTTGGGGTCAGCCATTTGTTGTGCCTTGATAGCAACTGGGAACAATGATTTGATATTTGCATTTTTGACATTCCTACCAATCAAAATCACCCTGATGAGAGAAGCAGTTCTTACTTTGTCTGGTTTAGTCTCCTATACGGTTAAGAGTTCTCTTTTAATGCCATTACTTACTAAAATCCTTAAACTTTCCAGCATTCACATGCACTGAAAATCTGGCATCCCTGCATCAGTAGTATGACCGTGATTCATCTGAGCCTTTATGAAGATGTTGTGCCCTGCAGTTATTTCCACATTACTTACCAAGATTAAGCAGAAGTTTTAATCTTTCAGCCACATCCAAACTCTGGAACAGCTTTTTGCCCTAAGGACAACAGTAGGGCATGAGATTACTAAAACATTATTATGAAATATATGAAATCAAAGATTATGAAATACATAAGAACATAAGAGATGCCAATGTTGGATCAGGCCAAAGGCCCATCCAGTCCAACACTCTGTGTCACACAGTGGCCAGAAATACCAGTGCCATCAGGAGGTCCACCAGTGGGGCCAGGACATTAGAAGCCCTCCCACTGTTGACCCCCCCCAAGCACCAAGAAGACAGAGCATCACTTGCCCCAGAGCCCCTATCTATACCTTGTGGCTAATATCCACTGATGGACCTCTGCTCCATATGCTTATCTAATTCCCTTTTGAAGCCGTCCATGCTTTTAGCCGCCACCACTTCCTGTGGCAGTGAATTCCATGTGTTAATCACTCTTCGCCTACTGTATGTTCTCAATGCCTCCATTACAGTTTATGAATCATATCCATCAGAAATTGTTGTTTCAAGTTCAAAGTTGATATGAAAAATGTAAACTACTATTTAGCTATAGTTTCAGGAGGGTAGCTGTGTCAGTCTGCCACAGAAGAGCTAGATTAGAGTCCATTTTCACCTTGGAGATCAACAAGATTTTCTGGTTATAAGCTTTCAAGAGTCAAGTAGGAGCGGACACCCCGTATATATTGTTAATAACACGAAATCAGATCCAGTGAACATAATGAAAACATCACAGAGATGCTTTTCCCTTCCCTCGGCTGTTCTCTTCAGCTTCCAATGTTCCTTGTACAACTGCTCCTGCATGACAAGTGAACCTGTGCTAAGTCTGTGTGTACAGGAAGGACAGACAGACATACAACCATACATACTCTTGCACAAGTAGTGGCCAATTTCCCCACAAGATGTATTGCCCTGCACTGTCTCTAATTCAGTGCTCTAGAGGCATAAGAGGAGCATTTGAAGAAGAAATGCTTAGACAGCATTTCAAGAAGGGCAGGGGAAGGGAGGAAGGGGAGAGGACTTTCCTGTCAACTTGATCCACAAGCACCACACCATGGAAAAATAACAAAATGCATGAACAAGAATGGAGTAAATTGGTAAAGGCATTACATATTGCACAATTTTCAAAGCCGTTTTTAGCAACCAAACTGCCACAGTCACTGCATTTGGAAAACGAATGAGCAGATTCACTCATACCCTGCCCAACTGGGATTTGTTCAGTTCTTAATCCCTGCGTTTTATTCCAGTGGTATTCCATGGAATTTTCATTCAACTTTGAGCAGCAGAGCTCCAAGAGTACTGATGCTCCTCCTTTTCTCCCCAAAGAAGAAGAGAAGAAGAAGAGGAGATTGGATTTATACCCCGCCCTTCACTTGGAGTCTCAGAGCGGCTTACAAACTCCTTTCCCTTCCCCTCCCCACAACAGACACTCTGTGAGGTGGGTGGGGCTGAGAGAACTCTTGACACAAACTGCTCTTTCAGGAACAGCTGTGCCAGAGCTTGTGACTGACCCAAGGTCACATCAGCAGGTGCAAGTGGAGGAGTGGGGAATCAAACCCAGTTCTCCCAGATTAGAGTCCGCACACTTAACCACTACACCAAACTGCAACAGACATTCCTTTAAAAATTAGCCTTTTGCCTGTTGAAAAGCCTAATACATTCTAAAAATGTTTTTCAGTAGGCACAGGAAAAGCTTTGAAAGTGTTTCTATTTATTTTCATGTGTTTATCAGGGGAAAAATCCATTTTCATTTTCAATGCATGTATTTCACACTCACACACACACACACACACAGAGCCCTAAGTGAATCTAATGACTCTTCTGTTAAAGCTTCCTCTGACAGAAAAAGACTCAAGAGAAGGGAATAGAATTATGGGAATAGTAAGGGAATAGTAAGACCCACCTTGGTGAAAGGGAGTCATTAGATCATTCCAATATTTACCTGAAATCTTAAGGCTAAACAAAATCTTCCCTACATATCATGACAGTTTAACATCCCAACAGAAAACTTTATAGACACGGTGTAAAGGACATAAGAGTCTACAAGTCCATTGTAATTTAAGCTGATGTACGGGTATAGTATCTACTGTTAGATGCTTTCTATTCTGTTTTTTATGTCTCTTCTTTTTGTTTTTCTGTAGTATCTTTCTATGAAAATAATAAAATCTGTTTATTAAAAAAAATCCCAGTTTAACATTTTTTCTTGCCTGATAATGCTCATAAAATTATTTTTATTCTATGGTCAACCTGGCACTGTTTTCACGGTCTAAACATTCACTTTTTTACTTGAATAAGACTTGAAAATATGACTCATGTGGAGCAAAAAACACTTTTGTCCAAAGCTGTTTGCTCTTAAGTCAATGTAAGTCAATTACATTGATGTGTAATTGTTTAAATTTTACATACCACACAAAGCTCGAATAATATAATACCAAGGGACCACACATCAGATTTAGGTCCAGAAGGTAGAGGCTTTTCACTTTGAGTGTGATCACTGGATTTCATAATTCCCTGTGCAATTACTTCCGGTGCCAAGTATGAAGGATATCTACAGTAATGAAACAACAATTTAAGCAACAAGATACAGAAAAGAACTTAGACAAATTATTCAAATGAAGCAATTCTTTCTTCATGAATACCAGTCTCATTAAAAAAGACTGTCACATTTTATAGCTGGACAAAATACTATATTCATGCACCCAAAAAATGTCCAATGTTATCTTGGAAAAATAAATGCTGATATGGGAAGAGGAAATCTATCATGCTACTTTTGTTACTTTGGAAAACTGTTATAAAGTTTGTCTTGTTTATCCTTACGGGTCAGATTGCTGCTGTCTGAACTGCATTTCAAAACCTTGGGTTTCTATGGAAATCCACTAGGATTTCTAGGACATAAACATGTGGTGATGATGACAGATAAGCTCTTTGAGACAGCTGACCAGCCATTCCTGATCTTCCCCTCACCATGCACACCCAAACAGCACAGTCTACATTCCACAAAGGTTGCTGGTATGTATAATGCATCATGCAACCTGAGAGTCCACCTCAACTACAATGCATAAGGTTGTGCAGAAAACGGATCCCTCCTGCAGGCAGTTTTCATTCCTGGACCACTCAGATTCTACTGAAGGGCAGTAATAGTACTGCACCAATTAGCGTGATGGGACTATAGAACTTTCCTTTCTTGGCTGTAACCAAGTGCCCACAATGAAGAACACTGGCGTTGTCATCTATGCATCAATCCAGCTTTAAACCCTGGCTTCAAGTACTAATTAAAGAGGTAACCTTAAGCATTGTTAGTGATTCAGCAGACATAATGCTTAACTATGCAGTTTCACACACAGCTTGCAACCTCTTAATCATGCTTCAACAGCATGAGTGCCTAGCCTCCAAAAAGCAAGCTTTCCTTTATAAATGAGATTTTCATACTTCTAGCTGTACCATTCCCCATGGCAGCTAAACAACTGGGCTTTTCAGCACAGTAAACAGCTAAAGATGCTATAATATTACCTGTGACCCTTTACTTCTGAAAGCTACAAGTAGTATTCTAAAAAGTTAATATATTGGAGTAACTCAGCAACAGAGTGTGCACTTTGCTTGCAGAAGGATACTGGGTCCAATCCCTGGCATCCCTACTTAAAGGACCTTAGACAGCAGGAGTGCTCGTCAGAATAGACAATACTGAATTAGATAGGCTAATTATTGGCAACTTCATACATTCAAAACCTAGCAAGTTCATAAAGTGTACCTTTACTCTTACCCTATGGGAAAATCAACATCAGCACCATAAGCTGTCATGTGGTAAAAGCCAAATTTAGCCAACTTGGTATGTCCCTGTTACAAAGAGAAAAATGAATCAATCTACAGAACAGCACTTTTATTTGGTAATTTATAGTTTGTAAAAAAAAAAGTTAATCCCATTTATGGTCCCAAACACCTGATGTCAAAGTGGAAAAAAATGGTAGGTGGCTCCATTAGTAGAATGGATCTGCAGGATCCAACCTGATATTTTCCAAACATTGGTAAATACCTGACAGAATTTACTGTTACCAAAAACCTTTAAAATTTTTATATAAATAACTGAAGTCACGTGAAACATTTTAGGGAGAAAAAATCATCCTATTGTGAAAAACCGTAATGATCAAAGTTTCCAAACTTTGTAAATGAAGACCTTTTGTTGTACACGTAAACTTCTCTTTCAAAAGTTGTGAAATCAAAATCCTTTTCATGAAGTCTGGAGATTTGTATTTCCATTAAAAAAAATTTATAGTTGTATTATAAATTTAATATATTCCAAATAAAAATACTGCCAGTCATGTTTCTATTAAGATTTAATATTCTTGAGTACAGTATCACTAGAAAAAACTCTTTAATATGTTTTGAGCATTTTAAAAAAGCAATTTTTTTAAAAAAATCAAGCTCTTTAAAGGCTTTGTGTACATCTTCCATTTTCAATCTTATTTTTCCATATTCAAGCTTGAAAGCAGTTCCTAAATTCTTGCTCTTAAGAAGAAAGCAAAATTCCAATATCATACCTAAGTATTCACAAACAAAAAGGAGAGAAGGAATATATTCCATTTGCTTTTTTGTTACCATTCCTCTAGAGATAAGCAACTAGCATCACTTTACAAATGAGTTGTTCTAAACAACAGATCACTCACATTTAACAACAAGTGTAAATTCTCAAAATACAATAATGAACACACTTTCATGGAAAATTAGGAAATAGGTTTAAACAGACAAAACATATACACATTTGCCGTGTGTTCTAAATATGCTGTAAGGACCCTACCCCTCAGTATTTCTTTATGAAACCTGCAAACCATAACTGGTAGAGAGACTCTCAGAATGCACAATGCTGGCTCACATTCTCAGTTGAGGCAAATATTGTGGTATTTGATAACTGCTTTCATACCAAGATCTGTAGATTAAAAGCCAAGAAAGAGCCAAGAAAGAAGTGCGATGACAGTGAAGGGGATTACTTTTATTGTTTAAAAAGCAAACCAGTGTAATAGCACAATCAACACTGATTACAACCTGACGGCAATTTATCAGTGTACTAAAAAAACTAATTAAATGTTATTGTGCCACAGGTTCTTAAAGCATGGCGTTGACCTGTGTTATCCTATACCTCACCATGCAGATAATAGGAAAATAGGAAGAACAAAGGCAGTGAAGCACTTCAGCAGGCTGAATTACACAAAGAGTCTTCTGCAGGAATTGGTGGTAGAAAGTGCCATCACAGCCAATGTACAGTGACCCCATAGGGTTTTCAAGGCAAGAGATCTTCAGAGGTGGTTTGCCATTGCTTGACTCTGGATTTCCATTTAAGTACTAAACAAGGCTGACTCTGCTTAGCTTCTAACGACCCAGGTCAGAGCCTGCAGGAATTTGCCTTGTCGTGGTGAGGGGGCTTGTGTTGTTCAATGAGGCTGCGGGCTATACCATGGAGGGCCACCCAGGACAGATAGGCCACAACGGAGAACTCAGACAAAATGCGATCCACTGGAGAAGGATATAGCAACCCACTCCAGTATCTTTGCCAAGAAAACCCCATGGACAGTAAGAAAAGGCTAAAAGATATGACACTGGAAGATGAGTCCTTCAGGTCGGAAGGTGTCCAGTGTACTACTGGGGAAGAGCAGAAGGCAAGTACAAGTAACCCCAGAAAAAGTGAAGTGGCTGGGCCAAAGCTGAAAGGATGTTCAGCTGTGGATGTGTCTGATGGTGGAAGGAAAGTCCGATGCTGCAAAGAACAATACTGCATAGGAACCTGAGATGAAAGATCTATGAATCAAGGTAAGCTTGACATGGTAAAAAATGAGATGGCAAGACTGAACATCAACATCTTGGGAATCAGTGAACGAAAGTGGACAGGAATGGGTGAATTTAACTCAGAGGACCGCTATATCTATTACTGTGGCCAAGTATCCCCTAAAAAATGGTGTGGCCTTTATAGTCAACAAGAGAGTGAGAAAGGCAGTAAAGGGATACAATCTCAAAAACAACAGAATAATCTTGGTCCGAATCCAAGGCAAACAATTCAACATCACAGTAATCCAAGTCTATACCCCAACCACTTACGCAGAAGAGGCTGAAGTGGACCTGTTCTATGAAGACCTACAACACCTCCTAGAACTAACACTAAAGAAAGATGTCCTTACTATCATAGGGGACTGGAATGCTAAAGTAGGAAGTCAAAAGGTAACTGAAATAACGGACAAGTTTGGTCTTGGAAAACAAAATGAAGTCAGGCAAAGGCTAACAGAGTTCTGTTAAGAGAACACGTTGGTCATAGAAAACACCCTCTTCCAACAACCTAAGAGGCGATTCTACACATAGACTACACATGATTATATAATTTGCAGTCAAAGATGGAGAAGCTCCATACAGTCGGTAAAAACAAGACCGGGAGCTGACTGTGGCTCAGATCATGAGCTACTCATTGCAAAATTCAGGCTTAAACTGAAGAAGGTTGGGAAAAACAATAGGCCACTCAGGTTTGACCTAGATCACATAGGTTTAAGGGACTAGATTTGATAGGCAGAGTGCCTGAAGAACTATGGATGGAGGCTTGTGACATTGTACTGGAGGCAGCAATCAGCACCATCCCAAAGAAATACAAGAAAGCAAAGTGGCTGTCTGATGAGGCTTTACAACTAGTAAGGAAGGAAAGTGAAAGGCAAAGGTAAAAAGGAAAGCTTTACCCAACTGAATGCATATTTCCAGAGAACAGCAAGGAGAGAGAAGGAGGCCTTCCTGAATGAAAAATGCAAAGTAATAGAGGAAAACAATAGAATGGGAAGGACTAGAGATCGCTTCAAGAAAACTGGAGAACTCAAGGGAACATTTCATGCAATGCTGGCCATGATAAAGGACAAAAATGGTAGGGACCTAACAGAAGCAGAAGAGATTAGGAAGCGATGGCAAGAACACACAGAAGAACTATATAAGAAGGATCTAAATGTCCTTGACAACCACAACGGTGTGATCGCTGACCTCAATCCAGACATCCTGGAGTGCAAAGTCAAATGGGCCTTAGAAAGCATTACTAATAACAAAGCTAGTGGAGATGGTGGTATCCCAACTAAGCTATTAAAAGTCCTAAAAGATAATGCTGTTAAAGTGCTACACTCAATATGCCAGGAAATTTGGAAAATGCAACAGTGGCCACAGGATTGGGAAAGGTCAATGCTAAGGAATGTTCAAACTATCGCACAATTGCACTCATTTCACATGCTAGCAAGGTCATGTTCAAGATCCTACAAGCAAGACTTCAGCAGAACTGCCAGAAGTACAAGCTGGGTTTCGAAGAGGTAGAGGAACAAGAGATCAAATTGCCAACATTCGCTGGATTATGGAGAAAGCAAGGGAGTACCAGAAAAACATCTACTTCTGCTTCATTGACTATGCTAAAGCCTTTGATTGTGTGGACCACAACAAACTGTTAAAGAGATGGGAGTATCAGACCACCTCACGTGTCTCCTGAGAAACCTGTATAAGGGTCAAGCAGCAACAGTTAGAACTGGACATGGAACAGCTGATTGGTTTAGAGTAGGAAAAGGACTACGACAAGGATGTATATTTCCCCCCGGCTTATTTAATTTATATGCAGAGTACATCATGCAAAATGCCAGCCTGGATGGATCACAAGCTGGAATTAAGATTTCTGGGAAAAATACCAACAACCTCAGATATGCCGACGATATCACTCTAATGGCAGAAAGTGAAGAGGACCTAAAGAGCCTCTTGCTCAGGGTAAAAGAGGAGAACGCAAAAGTTGGCTTGAAACTCAAGCATCCGGCCCCATTACTCCTTGGCAAATAGATGGGGAAGTCATGGAAGCAGTGACAGAATTCACGTTCCTGGGATCCAAGATCACTGCAGACGGTGACTGCAGCCATGAAAGTAAAAGACGCCTGCTCCTTGGGAGGAAAGCGATGACAAACCTAGACAGCATAATAAAAAGTAGAGACATCACCCTGCCAACAAAAGTCCATATGGTCAAAGCAATGGTATTCGAAGTAGTCATGTATGGCTGTGAGAGTTGGAACATAAGGAAGGCCAAGTGCTGAAGAATAGATACTTTTGAATTATGGTGCTGGAGAAGACTCTTGGACTGCAAGGAGATCTAATCAGTCAATCCTAAAGGAAATCAACCCTGACTGTTCTCTGGAAGGACAGATACTGAAGCTGAAATACTTTGGTCACCAAATGAGAAGGGAGCATTCACTGGAGAAGACCCTGATGCTGGGAAATACTGAAGGTAGAAGAAGATGGGGACAGCAAAGGATGAGATAGTTAGACAGTGTTACCGATGCAACAAATATAAAATTGAGCAAACTCCAGAGGATGGAGGAAGACAGGAGGGCCTGGCATGATGTGGTTCATGGGTTCACGAAGAATCAGACTCAACTGTGCGACTGAACAACAACAATAATACATGGCTCAAAAGCACTGGTGGTTGTCAATAACAGATAGGAGGCACTATAGTAAGCATAATTACAGTGGGAGAAATAGCAGAGCAGGATGAAAGTGCCACCTGTTTCTCCTACCATGCTCAATTAGAAGACAGTCAGTACTGTGTATGTGCTTACAGAGTAAGTGGTGATATGATAGAGGAATCTGTGTGTCAATTTCCACACCGCTGGAATCCCTGATCACCATTTCTGAAGGTCTTTGCAGTACTTTTAAAAATCACTTTGATCAGAGACAAAAGGAATTGGTGGGTAGAGCAAGTGAAGGCAGGAGAGAGCTTCCTCTAACAAACCATGCTTCAGCTCTGGGAAAAAGTGATTTTTTTTGTCTTCCCAGTAGGTCAAAATTTCAAAATTATCTCATAACACCCACTAAAGCTACCACTAAATATTGTCAACCTTTCTTGAGATTAGTACCGTGAAGGGAGAGGAACTGGGGAATCCTTTCATTAAGATCAAAGTGAAGAGCGCTGCAAACCTGTCAAATGCCACATTAAAGATTAAGGGAAGTGCATCTGGAAATGGGAATACTTTGGAATGGGTAGATTCAGAGAAACCCTTATTGTGCCATTCTATTTGCCCCCCACCCCAATATCTGTAGGGTTTTTTCCCTTTATGAACACACATGCATCGTCTATACACATAGAAGAGATCATGCAAAAACCTGCAGATGTGAGGGTGGACTCTACATTTAAATTTCAACAGATTTTAGCAAGTATTTTGCATTTATAAAGCAGATACCCCCCTCAATTACATCGCTCTTATTTTGTGGATGATGGCCAAGAATGCAGATGGACAGTCTAAAGATAAAACCCTGTAGCCTCACCTCTTGATCCATCATGATATTGTGAAGCGAAAGGGCTCGGTGGACTATTCCATGTTTGTTCATGTACTGCAGCCCCTCCAATACTTCATAAGCGATACACAAAATCCTAAAAGAGCTGGAAAAGAAATTACAACAAGTCTGTTTTAGTACCTTTGGGTTGAAATAGTACTTTCTACTGGAAGAAGATACAGCTTCTATGTTCAGTCAAAATACAATAATGTCAATAAATATCAATAACTGTCACCTTGCTTATTTAATATATATGCAGAGTACATCATGCGAAATGCTGGCCTGGATGAATCACAAGCGGGAATTAAGATTGCTGGGGAAAAGATCAACAACCTCAGATATGCAGACGATACCACTCTAATGGCAGAAAGTGAAGAGGACCTTAAGAGCCTCTTGCTCAAAGTAAAAGAGGAGACAGCAAAAGTGGGCTTGAAGCTCAACATCAAAAAAACTAAGATCATGGCATCCGGCCCCATCACTCCTTGGCAAATAGAAGGGGAAGTTGTGGAAGTAGTGACAGACTTCACGTTCCTGGGATCCCAGATCACCGCAGACTGTGACAGCAGCCATGAAATTAAAAGACGCCTGCTCCTTGGGAGGAAAGTGATGGCGAACCTAAACAGCATGATAAAAAGTAGAGACATCACCCTGCCAACAAAAGTCCGCATGGTCAAAGCAATGGTATTCCCAGTAGTCATGTATGGCTGCGAGAGTTGGACTATAAGGAAGGCCAAGCGCCGAAGAATAGATTATTTTGAACTATGGTGCTGGAGAAGACTCTTGAGAGTCCCTTGGACTGCAAGAAGATCAAATCAGTCAATCCTAAAAGAAATCAACCCTGACTGTTCCCTGGAAGGCCAGATAATGAAACTGAAGCTCAAATACTTTGGCCACCAAATGAGAAGGGAGCACTCACTGGAGAAGACCCTGATGCTGGGAAAGATTGAAGGTCAAAGAAGACGGGGACGGCAAAGGATGAGATGGTTAGACAGTGTCATAGATGCAGCGAACATGAAATTGAGCAAACATCAGAGGACGGTGGAAGACCGGAAGGCCTGGCGTGATCTGGTCCATGGGGTCGCGAAGAGTCGGACTCGACTGTGCGACTGAACAACAAAAAATGTTCAGTTAGCATAAATGGTGTTATAAGAACATAAGCAGAGCCTCCCAGCTCTGGGTAATCAGAGGTTTGGTGCCTCTGTATACGGAGATTGCCTTTACTCACCAAGGTTAGTATTGACATGACAGGAACTTCAATGCAATTTTACTCTACCTTCCTTCCTAATGTTACAGCAATACAGTGAATAGTTTGCAAGGCTGCTAACATAATCCTCTCCCTCCTGCCCTGCTCCCACATCAAAATGTCAGCCTGTGACTACTTAGCTACACAGACCATCCACTAGATGTAAACTTTGAGATTCAGATTGAAGGTACACTGCATTATTTTCATTCTTGGCTTCAGAATATGAGAGAAGCAGCTATATTTTATTGAGACACTAGAGGGCCTCCTCTACATATCCATAAAAGCAGAATATCCAGGAACATAACATGTTCAGGAATCAATTTGTCTGCTAAATCCTACACAGTCCATTTTACCCAGTTGATAAGCGTTACATGAAATGTTAATAGATTCAGGTGGGGTAGCCATGTTGGTCTGAAGCAGACGAGAAAAGTTTGAGTCCAGTGACACCTTTAAGAGCAACAGTATAAGCTTTTGTGTGCAAGCACACTTCCTCAGATACAAAGGAACAGAACCTCCTCAGCCATTACTTATGGGGCGTGGGGTAGCAGTTGTTGTCAGGAAGGGGCCACTGGATTCAAACTATGAAATGTTAAATTAGAGTAAAATATGTGTTTGACAGATTGTGATAATGTCCTTGTGCTACAGGAAAGGAGACATTAGTGTCTCTGGCAGGTGAGTCAAACGTAGGCTTTGGATAAGAAATATTCCCTTTTCTTAGTACTCCTCCGCTCCATGCAAATGCCGTTAAGTTTAGACTCTACTGGTAATTACTGGGAGGAAAATATGGGATGACATAAGCAGACACAATGACTCTGAAGTTTCCTTTTTTAAAAATGAGTCTAGCTGTTCTGTTTTCACAAGACTTCAAAAACATGAAACAACTCTAATTGAATGCAGAGATGTCTGCACAGTTTGCAAGAAAGCCTAAAAAAAATCATACTACATGTGGTATGAACTGCCCCATTCACTTTATCGAGTGTATAACCGGATGCTAATGCTGAAATGTGGACTTTTAAAATTATCAACCTCAGAGTTGACAAATATATTTGATGTATAACAAGCATTAAAGGAAAAGGTAAACCCCCCCTTATAAGAAAATGCTGCTTTATAGTATCATATATGTAAGAGGAAAACCAACCTATATGTGGAACCCATGAGGAAAAAAATTAAAAGATAAACCACCATTAAAAACTCCTCCTCAAAATCTGTACAGTGAAGAAGCAAGAAGATGCATCTGTTTTCATCTTCTTCAATGAGAAACCTCAGAGATCTGGAAAATCTGGGCTACCTAATGAAAGCCATTTAAGTTGAAAATGTTAAGTGAATCCATAATGCCTCTGACCATTTCGAACAAATTATTTAAAACAATTAGCTCACATTTCCCCCCCTCAAAGTGCATGCCTGTAAGCAACAGCAGAGGTTCAAGAGGTAGGAAAGGATTGATAGGAGCTCTCAGTACTGAAAAAACGGCAGGATAAATGTCCATTCTCAGCAAAAAAACAAGCTGAGCAGAGAACAGAAAAAAAGGTAAGGCGGAGATCATATCCAGTCCCCTAGATAATGGAGGTCCATGGAGAGCCAGAGGCAGCAGGTAATGAGAAACAGGAGTTATGGAATGGATACATATATCAACCACTTTATATTTCACAGTAATGTTATAGCTGTCACCTGATTAAAGAAACCTTAGCCAATTAATATTAGATGTTTCAACTGATCAAAGCTGCATATGAACAAATAGAAGCATTCTGAAGAGGGGGGGGGGACCTTGTTTTCAGATGATGCACACACATTTCAGTAGGCATCATGTTAGAAGCAGCATTCCCGCACACAGGAGAGAGAGAAGGGAATATTTCTTCTATGATGGTGATTGGAAGTATATGGTTTCTTTAAATTGTATGCCGTCTTATGCTTCTATTATGTTTAACTTTGTAAGCTGCCTTGAGCAAGTTCTCCAGAGATGCAGCATATAAAATTTTCTAAATACAGTACATCTGTAATCCAAAGAGCAAATTCTCTATTGGCTTCTCAGTCAACGCAAGGCTAAACCATGGCAAATAAATACAGTCAAATGGTGAGGAAACTTAAATCTACAAATAATAATTTTGTTCAACTGTTCTACACGCAGTCTTTGTTAAAGTTTAACTTTTTTTTATTTGTCACCACTTCAGGTATCCTAAATCAGGTGGAAAGGTAGCATAGAATACTTTAAACAAATAAACAAACAATTGAAAAGGCAAGCCTTGCAAAATTATCCTTGGTATGCAGAAAGGCAAGCATGTCCCTATTTCTATCTGAGAAATGTTAGTATTTACTTTTAAAGCAGTGAGAACACTTGCTTAGTTTTGGGGCTGCTGAAAGCCACCCAAGGCTTCCAAACAACTATTTCTTCTGGCACGCAAACACTTGCCAGTGTCACTATGTAGACCAAATTCAAATATTACATAAAAGCAAACTGCATGACTTGCAACTCAAAAGGGACCAGGGCCCCAAGAAGTTTGTCCAGTTAGTTCCCTCCATTTTGGTGGTCCTACTCAGCCTGGAAGTGAGACAAAATTTTACAAATCTTAACTGGCAGCTGGCATCAAAAAAATATTGCACAAAACAAGATCTCTTAGAGTTGGAGTGGCCATCTGACCAGTCAAAAAGGATCCAGTCTTTCGACTGCTCAAATATTGGTCAACTATTTTTAAACCAATACATTTATTAGGGAAAAAAGACATACTTTAATCATCAACACATTTATTACATATGCTAAATGTATGCAAGAAACCCCAAATTCAGCAACTCTTTTTGTAAAACAATGAAATAAACTTTTAAAAAACATTCTAATGAATTACTGTAACAACCACAATTTTTATAAATGTGAATGATTTGCTGAACAGCACTCTTTGGCTTTACACCTGAAACACCAGGATCAGCCTACCCGACAGTTTCAAGTGTTAAAAAATGAAAATGGGGGGAAAAACCCTCCCCTGAAACAGAAAGTACTACAATACTGTCAGATACGAGAGGAAGTTGTGCAAGGCAGAAAGCAGGCCTGTTCTCCACTTCTGTCTCATCCTTCCTTCCAGAAGCTCAGAGAAGCACCCTGTTCTCTCATCCTCATCATCAAAGCAACTCCATGAAGTAAATTAGGCTGAGAGACAGAGAGAATAACTGGCCCAATACCCCCACAATGAGCTTCATGGCAAATCTGAATCCTCGTCTTCCTAACCCTAGCCAGCATGCCAACCCCTACACCACACAGGGCAGTATGAGAAGAACTGCTATGCTGCTGGTTCTGTCTCTGGCTTCTACTGGGCTAAAAAAAAAGCAGCCTTTTTCCTGCCCTTCTTAACAATATGATACAATAATGAAATAAAGCAAGCTGCCTCTTCTACAGTGTCGTTTTATGACTTCAAGGAAAATTTAACCATGATCAAATACTAGACAGACAACTAACAATATGTGACTAGTCAACTGACTGATGTCCCCCTGATGTAACAAAAATTCCTCCTTTCACAAAGCCTGAACTGATACAGCTTTTCTCAGCAGTAAATCCTGCTGGGTTCATCGGGTCGTACTCCAAATGTACAGACGAGGTCGGCCTTACATTGCAAGAAGCGTAAGACCCAAGTTGGAACTGAAATGTAGTATTCAGGAAACAAACCTCAAAGTGATGAAAAGGCAATAATAAATATTCAGAAAACAAATAGGCAGAATTTTGCTTTAAATCTGGAATCATATATTATTGATGTCAAACACTCATGAGGATTAAATACATTTATGGACTTAAATACTCCCTTAAAAAAATAAAACTTCTGGACTAGTATTCTAGTAAGTCAAGAAGGAATTACTCCCCCAAACATCTGACAAAAGTACAT